GCTGAGTTCTACAGGGGGATGACACATGCCATTAGCGCCCCAGCCTTCCTTCAATAGGAGGCTGCCAGCCCCCCCCCCGAGGGGGGGGGCCTCTTGGCATAAGCCTGAGGCTACCTTGGTAACCTCATTGCCATCAGTTGGCAGTGGGGACACAGGAGCTCACCTCAAACAAAAGAAAGATTCCTTCACCCCAGGAGGCCCCTGCGGAACCGGGAACATGGTCAACTGCCTTAACAGTGTAGTTCAGTCAGCTCTGAATCCAGTTAATGATGAGGCGTCTTATAATAGGAGAGCATGTGTGTTTCCAGCACAGCAAGCCTAGTTCCCTGGAAACATTCGCCACTCACGCCTGTGAGCCCCTGGACAGCAGGGGGCGCTGTGGTCATTCTGACATCCCTCCCAGGAACTGCATCCAGACTAAATGTTTCCAAGGTGTACTTACTGATGCATACCTAAAGAGGGTGCACTTGACACTCAAGTCTGGAGCCCCTATTTGACACAGGACCCCTCATATACAGGAAAGGGGAGAGCAGAAGCTGCCCTGAGATGGCTTGAGCCGTGAAGGCCAGGCGCCCCAACACTGCAGACAGCAGCCCGCTGCCATGATGGATGTGCCAGGGTGTGGTTTCCACTTCCTTCAAGTTGTGACATCTCAGCATCGTAGAGGATGGTTTGAAACATGATAATGCTGCCTGCACAGGTACAAAGAAACATAAGAAAAAACCTGCCATTCAGTCTTGAATGAATATACCTACCAAGATCTTGTCAGACAAAATTCAGGGGGCCAGCACTGTGGCCTAGTGCAGCAGGTTTAGCTGCCACTTACAGTCAGAGCCCTGGATGCTTCCCTTCCCATCGGAAAAGCAGAGGATGGCCAGGTGCTTGGGCCCCTACACTAGTCTGGCCCAAACCAGCGATGGAAGGCCTCTCTCCTCTGCTCTCATCATTGTTATTATTTATTTGTTTTTATTACAAAGTCAGAAATAGTAAGATCTTCCATCCAGTGATTCACTCCCCAAGTGATTGCAATGGCTGGAGCTGAGCCAATTTGAAGCCAGGAGCCAGGAGCTCTTCCAGGTCTCCCACATGGGTACAGGGTTCCAAGGCTTTGGGTCATCCTCTACTGCTTTCCCAGGCCGTAAGTAGCGAGTTACATGGAAAGTGGGGCTGCCAGGACATGAACCATTGCCCACAAGGGATCCTGGAGCATTTAAGGCAAGTATTTTGGTCACTAGGCCACTGCATCTGTCCCTCTCCCTGCTTTTAAAATAAATTGAGAGTCCAGGTAAGTCTGAGCAGTGGTATGGCACAGGTGTCTGGTTCCCCAGCAATGTGGCTGTGGCTGGGAGCACCCGTACCGGCCCAGACTTCCTGCTGGGGATCCTAGCTCCCCATGCAATGCTGTTCAGTGGAGCCTCCTAGACTTGTGGTTCTGGCCTGGTGGCGAACTCTGGAGTCTTGGGGGTATGGAATTACTGCCTAGGGACACCCATGGATAAGACAATACGCATAGGTGAGGAATAAATCCTGAGGGACACCCAATGACAGGGTCACTGTACTTGCAGGTAAGCAAGGGGACAGAGACCTGGTGGTTTGGAAGGGAGAGACCTGAAGATATTTTGGGGTCAGCCTTGTGCACTGCCCACATGAAAGTCCTGGGTTGGGCTTGTTAACATGGAACAAAGCTGACCACCACACAGCAATGCACACACAAGCTATGGCTGAGAGCCTGCCTGGCAGGAATATCACAGTGAGTTTTGGATCAGGAGATGAGTCATATAGACTAGGCCATGACACCAACCAGCATGCAAGAGAACCAGGTCTGGGGGTGGATTCTGGGGAGATATGTGGGCCCAACCCTATGGAACTACAAGTCCTGTTGGTTAGCTTGAGAGTTGGGAATAGTGATGGGCTGAGCTAGACATGACTGATGTCAACTCATCGATACTGGTACTGGACCAGGAACAAGCAAGGCAGGTCCAGGCTGCAACACCCACATGAGCACCTTGAAACGGGGTGTGGGGTGGGCCGGGCCACAGCAGCTCAAAGGCTGGGATGGATGAGGCAGCCAAGACAGACTCTGAAAGCCGAAGGGAAGTTACTGTAGACAGCAGACAACAGGCCGGGGGGTTACTTGTCACTTGCAACCTGGACCCAGACACGAGGAGTTGATCCTCCACAGTGAATGGTCCCTGACCCCTGGGGTGGGCATCTGGGACTGTGCTCCAAGTCCCTGTAGATCTGTGCCAGCATGGTCATGAGTGAGGCTGCACGAATGTGGTTCCCCGATGGAGGTTCCTGAATGGCCTGGCCTTCCAGTCCACCACTACACAGGCTCTGCTGCGCTGTCTTGAGGTTCATTCCCTGCAGTGATGATACGTGGCATTCATTCTCTCACTTCACCTTCTTTCTAGCTCGTGGAAAGATGAGTCTGAAGACAGGGCGGTGGAGGGTGGGATTTCAGTGCCAGATCCCAGGGAAACAAAGCACAAAGCCCTGGTGCCTGGCTCTGCCTGCCTGGGCTAGGGAGCCAACACTCTCCATCATGGGTCAGTGCCGAGGCAGGTGCTCTGAGCCCAGGAACATGGCCCACAGGCAAGGCTGATGTCTACAGGCTCACTGACAGTGGACAAGGGGCATCAGGCAGTGAAGAAAAGGAGTGGAGCCCCTCAGGTTCCCCCCCACACCTCCATGGGCAGGGCATGGCTGGAGAGGGGCTTGTGGCTTCTGCTGGCAGGACCACTCCTGTCAATGATGTGACTTACTAGGCCTATCAATGTCCTAATCTGTGAAACAAACTCTGGACTTTAACAGAACTACCTTCTTGGGGCAGCAGTGAGATGGCGGGTCAGGGCCCCGGGGACACCTGCATTGCACACCAGCGAGCAGGATGGAGTCCAGCTGTTCTGTTTCTGGCCCAACTCCCTGCTTAGGCACCTTGGCAGGCAGTAGGTGACAGCGCAAGTGCTTGGCTCCCAGCCGCCAATATGGGAGATCTGGATTGGGTTGTAGGCTCTCAGCTTCCCTCTACCCAGCCCCAACTATTGCAGGCAGAGAGCGAATGTGGGATCTGTATGTCTCTCAAAAAAGTAAGGAAAACTTTAATACATAGACATTAACTTCAAAAAAGGGGATAGTCTTTGGGCCCGCATGCGTGGTGGGTGCCAGGTCCGTGAATCCTCAGCGGGGAGGGGGCCTGGCAGGGCCTGAGTTGTCTGGCCGTGTCCTTGGGCCCCGCCTGCAAAAACTCGTCCTCCTCAGTGGAAAAGATGGGAGCAGTGGACAGCAGGCCTGGGTACACAGAGGATATAGCAGTTGATTGGAGTCTGCAGAGGAAAGCTGGTTCCACAGCAGAGGGGAACAGAGTCGACTGGACAACTACCCCAGTCATATAATGACAACAAAAATCTGGGCAAATGAAGATTCTAAGGTTGACTGTGTCAGCCAACGGACCTTGAAAGGGTTTCTTAATCCTACTGGCAAGATCGACAGCATTTCAGAACCCTTGAAGTGTGTACCACATTGGAACTCTGGGTTGAAATCAGGAGGCCATTCCCCATCACTGGGTACTGGAGCACTTGGGAGACTGGATAAAGCTTCTCCCCCCAGGCACAAGAAAAATAAACATCAAATTTGGAAACAATTACATCGACTTTCTCCTTACCCTTGATTCTTTCCAACAATGTAAACATCATCAAAAATAAAGACTGAAAAAAGAGGAGGGGAACAGGCCGATGGTTGGCCAGGAGTTTAGGGTCTGGGATTCAGGGTCCAGCAGAGCTCAGAGCCAGGACACTGCTTAGGCTCAGGTTCCTTCGGAACTTGGGCATCTCAACACAACCAGGTCTGACTCCCTGACCTGGGGGCCTGAGAGGCTGAGTGATGTGACACGGTCACATGGTCACAATCCCTTCTGCACCAGGCCAAGGAGCTGACAGCTGCCTGGCAGTGGATGGACCAGAAGCCAAGCCACCAAGCCATTTACATATGGACACAAGAGACAGCAAATGGCCCCATAGGTGTCATCTAGCAGGAGACCAGCAAAGCCAGAGGCCATATATACCAGTTGGATGTGACTGCTTATGGATTTCTAGCCAAAGATACGGTGTGCTCAGTGCTGGGGACACCTGGCAAGCCTGAAACTGGACATGAGAGAACCAGCACTGAGGTCCCCAACAGCCCATCCTGAGCACACCCTCAGGGCCACTTCCTTTCTGTCCCTGCACCTCTCAGGAACCATCCATTCCAAGGCCTCACCTGAAGGCTGTTCATTCCAAATCCAAACCACCACCCCTTGGACCACGAGTCTAACAGGTCCCCAGGTCAGGGAGTCAGGGGACCTCCTCATAGCTTTGTCACCCACGCCACTTCCCACCTCCACAAGTGGTACCAGTATTTCCAATGATGCAGATAACAGTCTAAAATGCAGTGGGTTTTACTAATACCTACGGCTTGCTCAAAATGTGCTAGCTTGCTACTCACCCAGTGTAATCCTGTGTTGAACATAGCTGAACCCCCACTATTTGCACAGAGCTATGTCAGGCTCTGCATAGGAACTGGGATGAATAGTCCCAGCCCCACGTGGAGACACTACAAATGCCGCAGCAGCAGCACACACATGATCCACATACCCCATGTAAAGCATCTAGCTCACTTGGGACAGCCTGTGAAAAACACCCTGTAGCATCAGAATGTTGGACTTGTCCCCATGTTCAAAGCCTCCTCCTAGCACACACACCAAGAAGGTGCAGCACACACACACACACACACACACACACACACACACACACACTCTGAGTGAACCATGCAGTGACATTCAAAGGTTGAACAGAGAACCTCTCCCACCTGCCTGACTCCTGTTCAAGGACACCCTTGGTCACCTGCTCACCACGACAGTGTGATCACAGGGACACAAAACTGGACAACTTTAAAAATAAATAAATAGATAAAATTTTAAAAATGGGTCACTGAAAAACACCTGAAATGATTTACAAAATATGAATCCTTAAAAATACACTTCACTGCAAACATTTTTATTTCCAGAAAAATATATTAAATACTTCTCTGAATACATTAATCACAAGTTAAACAATAATCACATTAGCTAACCAGCTTATTCCAAAGGCAGTCCTTTTTGGTTTATTTTCTTAAAAAGTAAAACACTTTATTTTCCATAAACTATCCATTAAATTCACAGTGACGCCCACCACAGGACGCTCAGCCTCCATACCTCTTCCTGAGGTCGTCAAGGGGTCGTCCCCCAAGCCCTGCTCCATCCACGTGACTGAGCAATGCACGCACAGCTGGAAAAGAAGGGAAATGCTCCACTTGCCTCTTGTACAGATTAACCACAACACAGCTGAAGGGAGCAACCTGACTCCGGGGTAGAGACGTTCTGTGCCCAAGGCAGCAGCAAGCCCCATGAATGCTGCAGCACAGTCTCTTGCTAGGCAGCCCACCAACCGACCACCGTATTTTCTTCTAGAACAAACTGTCTAATACTCTAAATGGAAAGTTGGCAAAAGGAGCTACAAACCACGCTGGAGATGGCTTTTTGTATTCTATAACGTTACTGACCACGTTCCTGTCCCTGAGTGGAATGGGGGGCAGGGTGGATGGTGAGGAGGGATCCTCACGTAGATGTTCTAAGGCGACAAACACAAGGTTGTGCTAAGATGTAAAAACCAACAAGGACCCCCTGTGCAGGCCCAGCACCTGCTCCTGCTGCTGCGACCTCAGGATCCACCTCCTTGCTCTATTCTCTCCACCCAGCTACCCGTCCTCCCTGGGGCCCTGGCTCAGGTGGACACTCTTCCCCGCCCTCCCTCACCTGACTGACATGGGCACTTCTTTGAGACTGAGCTATAAGAAAACCACCTCTCAGGGAGGAGATGTCTCCTGGCCACTGGCAGCATCCTCCACAGGTTCAAGCTCAGGGCTAAGCTTCCTGTGTCATCTGAATTACCTTCCCTTTTATGAAACATGAGGGACACTCACATCCACACCTTCTAATAGCTTCAAGTTCACTGTGCAGTGGCAGAGAAGGGTAAGTCACTGTCTGCAACCCAACAGGCCATGTGAGGCCCGGTTCAAGCCCTGGCTTCTCCTGCCAGGAAAGCATCAGAAGAGAGCTCAGGCACATGGCCCCAGCCAATAGAATGGGGACCAAATGAATGTCCTGGCTGCCTTGGCCTGGCCCAGCCCTGGCTGTCTCTGCTGTAACAGCAGATGGAAGATCTTCTTTCCTGTTCTCTCCATCTCTCTGCCTCTCTCTGCAACACTTTCAAATAAATATTTAAAATTAAAAAAAATTTTATTGTGCTTAACTGCAACTCTAACTTGATTCTAATTAGCTAATTACAGATACTTTATATGTAGTAAAAAGTGAGTGACTGCTACAATATCTTCCATGAAAGGAAGAACAGATAATGAATAGCCCTGAGAAAGCTCTTTTGTCATAACTTACTCCTTTTCTCTGCTTCTGACATAAACATCACTGCCATCTCAAACCTCTTCAATTCAGAAAGTTTCTGTAAGACTTCAAAGATGAGTGATGGTTTCTCTTTCCTGAAAAGATCCAAGAATTAAAACAAATTATCACAAACAAGTAGCTCACTTAAGTGTATTCACTGACACTGTATTTCTGACCACACATAATTAAGATGTTATTTCCTTTCTTCACAAGATCCTGTCTATGAACAAGGTGATCAAACTCTTAATGAGTAGACCTCACACTGGACCAAGTCGTGAGGAGACTTAACACCCAGACCAGTCACTGAGACTGGTCACCCCACCCAGCGAGATTTCACACCCGCCCAATTCAGTTGGCTCTAACAGCACTCACACTGAACCAGGTCAGTGAAGATTCTCACAGTCAATGAACGTGATGCCCCACCCAAGACGAGCCAGCACTCTCGGCCACCATGGCCATTCAGCCCTCAGTTTGGAGCTCAGCACAGAAGCTTGCTGTACTTCAAACAAACCATTCCCACACACAAACTTTTCTCTAGGAAAAACTTAGCAAGTTATTTGTCATCTCACTTCATTTTCTCTTTTTGCTGTCTGTATCCATCATCTCTGTAACAGTAGAATTTACTAGAAAACTAGTTCTATCATCCACAGGTTACTACTACATCAAGGAGAATAATGCTTCCACCATTGGAAAGGCTATCCCAACATGCCAGTTCAAGTGGCGCATTACTAATCCCAACAGCCAAAACCAGGAACATTTTGAATTCCATGACGTCATAGTAGAAAATTACAGGATAAAACTTTGTTTTGGAGCTGGCATTGTGCCACAGCAAGCAGAGCTACCCCATGTAATGCCAGCATCTCCTATAGGTACCTGTTTTGGTCCAGGCTGTCCTTCTCCCTGCTAACATGCCTGACAGCCATGGAAGACAGCCCAAGTCCTTGAGCCCCTGCACCCACATGGAAGACCTGGAGCAAGCTCCTGACTCCTGGCTCTGGTCTGGCCTTGTCCTGGCCATTTGAACTGTTTGAACAATGAACTTGTAGGTGGAAGATCTCTCTATATGTATCTGTCTCTCTCCTCTCTCTGTGACTCTACATTTTAAATAAATGAAATAAATCTGTAGGGAAAAAAACATCTCTCATGAACAAAATTATTAGAAATAATGCATAGGGCCCGGCGCGATGGCGCAGTGGGAGACCCGGAAGAGGCTCCTGGCTTCAGATCGGCATAGCATCGGCCGTTGCGCTCACTTGGGGAGTGAATCATTGGACGGAAGATCTTCCTCTCTGTCTCTCCTCTCTGTATATCTGCCTTTCCAATAAAAATAAAATAAATCTTTTAAAAAAATAAAAAATTTTTTAAATTTAAAAAAATAAAAAGAAATAATGCATGAAGTTTCCTTGAGGCTACATGTGTAAGATGCACATGACATAGACCTGAATTTTGTGTTTAGAATCAAGCGCCATCTCACCAGATCCGGTCACGTATATACCAACAGTCCCAAGTCCACATGCAATATGTCCGTCCTGAGCACTTCATCTACAGGCATTCAAGCCAGATAACCCCAGAAGTCAACTTACTCAATGTAGAAATCATGCAGAATCCTAATGATCTGGTTGAACACATCTGGTTCCAGGTTCTTCTGAAACAACTTAGGATACAGGGATGGCTCAATTTGCTTGGAAAAAATACAGAAGATATTTCTCACATATTGTCCCATTCTCACAATATGCTAGTCCTCACACATTTTAATTACATAGCTGCTAAGGAGAAAGCTCAAGAATAACCCCACTGAGAGGCACTAGAGTTTCTAAGGCGACAAACACAAGGTTGTGCTAAGATGTAAAAACCAACAAGGACCCCCTGTGCAGGCCCAGCACCTGCTCCTGCTGCTGCGACCTCAGGATCCACCTCCTTGCTCTATTCTCTCCACCCAGCTACCCGTCCTCCCTGGGGCCCTGGCTCAGGTGGACACTCTTCCCCGCCCTCCCTCACCTGACTGACATGGGCACTTCTTTGAGACTGAGCTATAAGAAAACCACCTCTCAGGGAGGATATGTCTCCTGGCCACTGGCAGCATCCTCCACAGGTTCAAACTTAGGGCTAAGCTTCCTGTGTCATCTGCATCATCTTGACTATGCCTCATCCTCCCCTCTATGAGGGCTCCATGTCAGAGTGGCCACCAGGGAGGACACTGGCCCCACCGAGGTACAAGAGCCGGGGCTCTGCGTCAGAGCCACCAGGAACCACTCCACCCCGAGGAAAGACACCACCACCTGAGACAGGGACCTGTGAGCACCTCTGAGAGACAGACTTGAAAATAAAGAACTACACAGAGGAATGTAGCTGAAGTCAACTGTGTAGCACCGTCATTGTAAGGGAGTGCTATTGTGTTCAAACTTGGAAAGACTGCGCTAACCCACTATTTGCTGAATTTGCTAAGATGAGATTCAACCCACTCATATTCAGGAAGTGAACTCGCCGTGCTTCAACTCCCTGCCCCCAACTTGAAGGTGATGACACTTAAGTCAAATGCAGCTCATCTCTGCCTGTTCCCAAAGTGTGCTGAGGTTCGCCAGAGGTCAGGGTGATACACACGTTGGATTAAAAGCGCCTGCACGACCCAACCCCACACGTCCAACATGGCACTGTGACTATGCAGTGATGAAGTAGTCCTGATCTCTTCATGACAGCAGTCTGCTCCTCACCTTCAAGTACTGGTACAGTGCATCTGGACAACTTCTCAGTCTCCTGAAATCAGATTCAAGTTGAAAAGAGTTTGCAGGAACCGGAGGGAGAGCAGTCGTGGCCAAGTGAGGAGGCACTGGTCCCACCTCTGCAGCCGACTTCTCCGAGGGAGGCTGCTGTCCACCTGGCCTCAGCCTGGCCTGTGGGCTGCAACCAGTCACAGGCATCAGTCACTTGGAGATCTCCCATCAATCATGCTGTTACTACTGCACTACTGACTTAGATCATACAGTACTCAATCATCTCAGCTAATAATATGTACACATTATTATTCACACAGATCATGTCCTTACTGGCTAGGCTGGGCATTCTCACCGTGGGGTGATGGGCAAGGCCCCCTTTGGGACACAGCAGGCCCGGGCTGCACCCTGCGCAGCAAGCCTGTCTTCCACAATTCTGAAACCTCATGGTTTCAAGATGCTCCAGAAAGGAAGCAGCGCTTCTGACTTCTAACAGCCTGTCCAGTCACAATCCACCCGTCACTTTATGCAAACCTACTCCTGAAGTTCACAGTCTAAACACCAAAAATGTAGTTACATTTAGTGGCTGGCAATGTAAGAATATATAAGTTTCAAAACCTAAACCCCATTCATCTATGTGTTCAATATTATCCTATATAGTGAAACATTTACATTAAGTTCTAGAAAAGAAAATGAACAAATCCAACTTGTTCAAACCTTCATGAAGTTCCCCACAGTAATTACAAGTGCAGAGAGAACCTGAGCCAGGAAACTCACATAAGGACAGTATTCCTTCCCTCAGCCTGATGACCTCATGTACTGCACCACGTCCACTCACAGGGTACATCCACTCATTACACCACATCCACTCACAGGGTATGTCCACTCACTGCACCACATCCACGCACTACCCCATGCCCACTCACACGGCAGTATGTCCACTCACTGCACCACATCCACGCACTACCCCATGCCCACTCACACGGCAGTATGTCCACTCATTGCACCACATCCACGCACTACCCCATGCCCACTCACACGGCAGTATGTCCACTCATTGCACCACATCCACGCACTACCCCATGCCCACTCACACGGCAGTATGTCCACTCATTGCACCATATCCACGCACTACCCCATGCCCACTCACACGGCAGTATGTCCACTCATTGCACCACATCCACGCACTACCCCATGCCCACTCACACGGCAGTATGTCCACTCATTGCACCATATCCACGCACTACCCCATGCCCACTCACATGGCAGTATGTCCACTCACTGCACCACATCCATGCACTACCCCATGCCCACTCACACGGCAGTATGTCCACTCATTGCACCACATCCACGCACTACCCCATGCCCACTCACACGGCAGTATGTCTACTCACTGCAGGCGCAAGGTGTCACTTGTCTCTTCTATTTTCAACACTTTTGTTCTTGGCATGTCACTGATGGCCAAAGTACCCTCCTGGCTTGAATTATCTTGTGTGGTGCTCGCAGCAGCTTCTGCGCTGGCTAGTTCAGCAGGATCAGTACTTATGGCGGCAGTGGCTGTGCTGTCTACATTTCCAGTTTCTTCAATAACAATGTTCCTGAGTTGTTTCTAAATCAATTAGAGTTGGTTCTTCAATCAGCACACAGAAGAACACAATATGGTGTTGTAGTAGCGGACATACCACTTACAAACGAATCCGACATAGTGTCAATTAGGGCAGAGTCTGTGTAGACACCAGAAGCCACCAGGCACTTGCACAGCACCAAGTGCTAAGGAAATGGGAAGGGCGACCCAGCACCAGGGAAGGCTACACAGACAGCAGCTCAGTGACAAGGGTGGAAGGTGAAGGCTGCTTGTGTGTCATACCCAATAGTCAACACTTGTTCAGATGCAATAAAGCAAAGAAAGACAACCCAAAACAGCCCCACCAGAAAACAGAGCGGCTGACAGAGGGGGAGCATGGGTGCAGCTGTGATGAAAACAACACAGGCTACCATGCCGGGCCTGGCTCCTGACTCTAGCTTTCTACTGGAAGCTGGCAGTGAGGCTCAGGGATTATCCTGGGCCTAACGGGACATCTAGATTGAGTTCAAGGCCGCCCCCTCCCAACCCTAACTTTTCCAGGCATCTTAGAGTGAACCAACACAGAGAATGCTGTGTGACCACCCTCCCTCACTCTTGTTGTCACTCTTGTCGCGCTCGTTTCCTCATTCTCTTAAATCAATTCAAAAAAACAAAACCTAGGGGCCCAGCGGCCTGGTGGCCTAGTGGCTAAAGTCCTCGCCTTGAGCGCGCCAGGATCCCATATGGGCGCTGGTTCTAATCCCAGCTGCTCCACTTTCCATCCAGCTCCCTGCTTGTGGTCTGGGAAAGCAGTCGAGGATGGCCCAAAGCTTCGGGACCCTGCACTCATGTGGGAGACCTGGAAGAGGTTCCTGGATCCTGGCTTCGGATCGGCATAGCATCGGCCACTGCTCACTTGGGGAGTGAATCGTCGGATGGAAGATCTTCCTCTCTGTCTCTCCTCCTCTCTGTATATCTGACTTTCCAATAAATAAATAAATCTTTAAGAAAAAAAAACAAAAACTAATAGCCTTCTCTAAATATATAAAAAGCAGCTCAATAAAACCCCAAGGTTACAGATTGATCAAATGTCTGCAGTATTAATAAGAGATAACCATCAAAGGTTTTCAACTGATTAAATTTCATCTAATGTTCACTTGGATCACTGTAAGCATTTTCAACATTTTCAGCTTATATTCATGTCACTCTCCTATGGAATAAAACATAACATTCTTCATTATCACCACCAGTGCCAGATGCATAGAACTACAGAGGATCTATGCCCCACCAGGGTACAGAAGATAAATAGGTAAGACAGTGCCTTCTTAAATGTAAATATTAACAGCAGCTACAGAAGAACAGAAAATGGAAGTTTGCATTCTCTACTGTGTTTGAAACTTGAAAAGGTTTGTTAATTTATTTGACAGAATTAAAAGAGATGGTCCATCTGCTGGTTTACTCTCCAGATAGCTGCACATGCTTGGCCTGAGCCAGGATGAAGGCAGTAGCCCAAGTGTTTGTATCACGTTTTGCTACCTTCCTAGGCATACCAACAGGCAGCTGAATGCAAACTGGAATTGTCGGTACTCCAAACTGGGTTTGATACGGGATGCTGGCATCACAGGTAGCAACTAAACCCACTCCACCACAATGATGGCCCTGAAATTCAGCTCTGGAAAACAAACAAACAAAAACCTTTTCTCTTTAAACTGCTTGTTACAACTGTGTAGTTAAATTTATATAAAAGCCTTACTCTGAGATATATATTAAATTCAATAATTGGGCCCAGTGTGATGGCTCAATGACTAAATCCTCACCTTGCAAATGCCTGGATCCCATATGGGCACCAGTGTGTGTCCTAGCTGCTCCACTTACTTTCCAGCTCTCTGCTTATAGCTTGGGAAAGCAGTAGGAGATGGCCCAAAGCCTCAGGACCCTGTACCCACTTGGGTGACTCAGAATAAGTTCCTGGCTCCTGACTTCAGATCGGCTCAGCTCTGGCCTTTGCAGTCATTTGAGGAATGTACCAGTGAATGAAGATCTTTCTCTCTGTCCCTTCTGCTTTCAGTAAATCCGATCTGTGTTTCCAATAAAGATAAATCAATCTTTTTTAAAAAATTTAATAGTTAGGGCCCGGCGCGATGGCGCAGTGGTTAAGGTCCTCGCCTTGCATGTCCAGGATCCCATTTATTCTAATCCCGACAGCCCCGCTTCCCATCCAGCTCCCTGCTTCTGGCCTGGGAAAGCAGTCGAGGACGGCCCAAGTTATATCTAAAGAAAAGGCAATTAAGCAGAGACTTTTGCTTTTTAGGGAAGCAAATCAGCAACAGTTTTGTACCCAGATATGGACCTGGATTGGCTATTAGTATAAAAAATGCATAATGATTGCTGATAAACAGTGACATTCACCAGATCAATGTGGTCCTATCTGAGACCAAAACCTGGAGCAGGGATCACACTGGGCACTACCATCAGGATGGCACCCAGAATGCCCCACTCCACCTGGAGGTGCCCAGATGCTCGAGGATGTGGGCCCCTGGCTGAGGCTTAGCTGTCACAGGAATTTGGTCATCACACCCAGTGGAAATGCGTGCTTTCTCTCTGCTTTTCAAATAAAGTGAAAATGAAAAAGTAAAAACTTGGCAAAATTAAACTGAATTTTGTCATTGACAGCAGACATGTAATTGAGGGATCGAAGGGCTGAGAGGAGGCGGTGGAGGGCTGGGGTTACAGTCGCACCGACACTACCACAGAAAGAAAAGATGGAGCAGAAGCTCATGTCACTCCCTTTTTACAAGTTTGACTCAAAAGTATAGGCTCTAATTTTGAAAACTAAGAAAAATTAACAAACAGGAAGGATCAAGTAGAAAGGTGTTTTGACATGCAGAAATAGAAAAACAAGATAAATGAAATAAAATGGAACACTGAACCAACAATCCTGACAAGTTTCCTGCAGTGCCCGCAGAGGGTCCTTGCCCCGTGGGCACACAGGAATCTGGCTTGGTTTCACCTGAGGTCCTGACACCCTCCTCTGTCCCTCAGAGACCAGGAGACCTCACCACCCTGATGGAAGAAGAGGAAACGGACAGTTTCACTAGGAATCACTTTAGCCTTCATGCACATTACTGCCTTTGGGATAAACAAATCTGTGAGTTACTCTCAATCTAAAGGGCTAAGATTTCAGGGGCTCAGGTGAAGCCTCATGGCTCAGGATCAGGGCACCCACAGGTAGACAAAGGGCCTCCTCCTTCACTCTGAGGCTCATGCTGCTAACCTCAACACGGCTCGACGCTCACAAAGTTGCAGAAGCTGCTCCACAGCAGACAGAGCTGACTGCCCCTCTGGCTGTCCCTGCTGCTGTAACCAGGGACTCCACAGCCCTGAGGAAAGCTTTGTGGCTTCCGATGCCATGAGCATGACACAGGGCAGGAATAAAACAAACCGGCACTCACAGAGGCTCCAGGCTGCGGTGGCTTCCCAGCTGGCTTCACCTCGTTCTGCCTCTGTGTGGACTCAAGGAAGACCTCGTCCCACAGCCCTTTCTCAATCAATTCCTGGGAAATCAACACATAATCACAGAGATCAAAACACTCTCAGGTTAATAAAACAAAATGCTTCACTTTCACCTTGTTGTGAAAGAAGCCTTACCTTTTTGATTCTGGAAAGTTCAGTCACCGCTTGCTTATTTCCAGGTTCCAGGAGTAAAACAGTTTCAAAATCTAAAGTGAGAATATGTAAAGAACTGAATCATGTGATGGAGGGGAAGATGTATCAGGTGTCTTCCTCAGAGACCAGCAGGGAAGGGGACAAGGCCTGACGAGCCACGGGCACCTCCGCTGCTCCCCACGGTGTCCAGAGTCCCTTCTGCAGCCCACGTCACATATGACACAAAGGAGGCACCGCTACCCTTGCCATCCTGCCCTTCCTCATGTTTCCCTTCTCAGCTGTAATTCAAATTCCATCAATTTCTGGGGCCAAGTCTGAGGGTGCCCTGGTGAGACCCCTGCAGCAAGCACACTGCTCTGGGCTAGGAGGACCCGGGCCCAGAACACTTCATGCGCTCTGGGCCAAGCCAAGTGCCACCACAAGGGTCTTACCCTGCCTGGCTTCACTCAGCTTTCCTAAAAGGTTCCTTGCTGTTCCTCTTCTGGCAAAAGCTTTGGAGTACGAGCCGTCTAAGGAAATGGCGCATGTGCAGTCTTCTTCAGCCTCTCGGAATCTATTGAACAAAGCAAAATGCAGCTTGCAGAGACTTCATGCTAACTAATTAATAATATTTTTTAGATTTTTTTATTTATTTGAATGGCAGATTTACAGAAAGAGAAGAGACTGATTTTTCATACACTTTCCACTCCATAAACACCAGCCACTGACCAGAGCTGGACCTTGGAGCCAGGAACTCCATCAAGGTCTCCCATGTGTGTGCAGGAGTCCAAGAACTTGAGTCATCCCCTGCTGCTTTCCCAAGCACATTAGCAGAGAGCCGGTTTGGAGCAGCCAGTGTCCATACAGGAAGCTGGCACCATAGGTGGAAGTTTAACCTTCTACATCACTGATTACTGGCCCCATAATTACTCATCTAAAAAGCATATAGGGGCCCAGCTCAATGACTCAATGGCTAAATCCTCATCTTACAAGCACTGCACTTCCATGTGGGTGCCAATTTCTTGCTATTCCATGTCCCATCCAGCTCCCTGCTTGTGGCCTACAAGAGTAGTGGAGAAAAGCCAAAAGCTGTGGGATCCTGCACCTACATGGGAGACCCAGAGGGACTCCCAGCTTTGGACTGGCTTAGCTCCAGTTGTTGCAGCCACTTGGGGAATGAACCAACGGACGGAAGATCTTTGTCTTTCCATAAATCTGATCTGCCTTTCCAGTAAGTAAAGAAAGAAAGAAGTCTTTAAAAAGCATATACAAGTCACACCACATCTGGGTTTGACGAGCAGTTCCAGCTCCTGACTGAGCTTCCTGCTAAGGCAAACCTGGAAGGCAGCAGTAATGGCTGTGTGCCCAGGGTGGTCAGTGCTATGATACAACTTGGAAAGCTACCGCCTGCAGCACCCCACGTGGGCGCTGGTTCATATCCTGGCTGCTCCACTTCTGATCCAGCCTACTGCTACTGCTGGGAAAGCTGCAGACAATGGCCCACACACTTGGGTCCCTGCCTACAGCCTCAGCTGTTGCAACCATCTGGGGAGCAAACCAGTGGATGGAAGAGCCCTCTCTCTCATTCTCTCTGTAACTTTTTTTTTTTAAAGATTTATTTATTTTTTATTGGAAAGGCGGATATACAGAGAGGAGGAGAGACAGAGAGGAAGATCTTTCATCTGATGATTCACTCCCCAAGCAGCCAAAACGGCTGAAGCTGAGTCAATCGGAAGCTAGGATCCAGGAGCTCTTCCGGGTCTCCCATGCAGGTGCAGGGTCCCAAAGCACTGGGCCATCCTCGACTGCTTTCCTAGATCACAAGCAGGGAGCTGGATGGGAAGTGGGTCCGCCGGGATTAGAACCAGCGCCCATGTAGGATTCCGGCACCTGCAATGTGAAAACTTTAACCACTACACTATCGCTTCAGACCCTCTGTAACTCTTTATAAAGAAATAAATCCTTGGGCTCAGCACAAGTAGCTTAATGGCTAAAGTGCTTGCCTTGCATAAGCCAGGATCCTCCATAGGAACCTAGTTAGTATCCTGGCTGCTTCATTTCCCTTCCAACTCCCTGCTTGTGGCCTGGGAAAGCAGCTGAGGATGGCCCAAAGCCTTGGGACTCTGTGCCCGTGTGGGAGACCCAAAAGAAGCTCTTAACTCCAGGCTTTGGAACAGCCCAGCTCTGGCCATTGCGGCCACTTGGAGAGTGAATCAGTGGATGGAAGATCTTTATCTGTCTCTCCTTCACTCTGTAAATCTGACTTTCCAATAAATATAAATAAATTTTTAAAAATATATAAAACATTATGATTCTTTTACTTTAAAGTATATTTTACATAGTGTATCAATGCAATTGTCAACTATCAAGATAAAATTAATATAATAAATTAGATCTCTCCAATGTGACTATGATCTCTCACTTACAAGAGGGTATTATCTTGCCACTAGTGACACCAAAGAACTCAAGCTTTATGATGCCAAGACAATGCACAGTTCCTGGCCGGGACAAGCCAAACTTTTCATTACCTAGAAAGGGCTAACATGACCTTGACTCTGAAAATCAAGAAGAATGTGTCCGTGTTTCATGACACCATAACTGAGGCTAAATACATAACACAAAGTCCCGAATTTCATCCTGGGAGATGCGAAAATGTGGATGAGAAAAAGTGACCATCAAAGTTTCACTAGCTCTAAACGAAATGTTAGCTTTCTTTGTGCAAATATCAGGTAGTAAAAGCAGTTTTAGAAGCACCAAACAACCCATCATGTATCTGTCTACAGTCACATAAGCCACCATGTGTCAGCCTGTGTCTACACTCACCTAGCCCACTGAGTGTCCTGTCTATAGTCACCTAACCCACTGCTTGTCTGCCTGTGACTGCAGCTGTCCAGTTAACTGCTGGCTGCACAGTTCCTCCAGAGTCCATCACCGTGATGTCAAGGACGTAAGGTGTCTTGCACCACACAGCAGACCTTGCCATTTCCTGATCTCCCTTCAAACGCTGCAGTCACAGCCGCTCGCTAATCAACACCTTCTATCCGTGCTGAATATCATCTTAAGGCATCCTTATTCAAACCTTCATTCCACATGCCCTAAAACAATTTTTTAACTTGCCTACATTTTAATTATTGCTTGTATTTTGTAGTGTTAGAGGAAAAACAAGCATATGTCAATACCAGTTAACATGCCATTTACAGCACATTTTCATCTTAAAACAGCATTAAGCTATAACGGATACTCACTTCCGTATCTTCAGGTAAGCCATTGCCCTGTTGGCAGGGAGAAGGGCATTGGTGCTGTCGGCTGCCATTCCTTGGGTATAGCATTCAATAGCCTTTTCATATCTCCCCTCTTTGAAAAATATATTCCCCTATACATATTAAAGCATAGCATGGAAAGGAATAAAAAAAAAATTAAATGAATTCAAATCTTCAACACTCCAAGGGCATCCATCAGAATCAGACGGCAAGTCAAGCACACAGCGCAGCCCGGGAGACGGGGCTTAGAACGTGCGAGTTCAGGTTACTGCACGTTCTCTCCAGTGCAAACTACTCTCCTGATCATAGCTCTCAATATTATACATTTCATAAAGGCTCAGTTAATACACATCAATAGTTTCACTAGAAGCTGCACACAAGCATTTCACAACTCAAATAACTTTTGTGAAGAACACAGTAAAGCACTACAAAGCACTCCCAGCCCCTTCAGTTACACCCAACACCTAAATGTAGAATAAATTTAACTACTAGACTTCATAGCTCACATTGCATTTTTACGTCATTAAAATTAGTCACATATCACAACCAAAATTCCTTAAGGATTTAATAAGCCGTTCTCTGTGAGCTCAAGAAGTGTTATAGACATGTTAAATTCAACCTAAGGAGGATCTGTAAAGGAACTTCCATCAGAAGCGGTGCAGTGTGAGTTCATGAGAAAGTACACTGAAGAAAAAACTGTAATTTACTTGTGTTAAACTCATTCTATATCAAAAATCTGCCAACACTATTCTATAATTTACTCGTGTGTTAAAAATCATTTCTCTATCAAACATATGCAAAAATCTGCCAACACTATTCTGTTTCCCAAACTTAAATGTCTCCATAATTATGTAATTTCTTAGAAACCCACTGGGTCCAGCACGATGACCTAGTGGTTAAAGACCTCACCTCAAATGTGCCAGGATCCCATATGGGCACTGGTTCTAATCCCGGCGGACCCACTTCCCATCCAGCTCCCTGCTTGTGGCCTGGGAAAGCAGTCGAGGACGGCCTAAAGCCTTGGGACCCTGCACCCGCATGGGAGACCTGGAACAGGCTTCTGGCTCCTTGCTTTGGATTGGCTCAGTTCAAGCTGTTACGGCCGCTTAGGGAGCAAATCAGCGAATGAAGATCTTCCTCTCTGTCTCGCCTCTTCTCTATAAATCTGACTATCCAATAAAAATAAATCTTTGTAAAAACAAATCCATGTGGGCCCGGCGCGGTGGCCTAGCAGCTAAAGTCCTCACCTTGAACGCGCCAGGATCCCATATGGGCACCGGTTCTAATCCCGGCGGACCCACTTCCCATCCAGCTCCCTGCTTGTGGCCTGGGAAGGCAGTCGAGGATGGCCCAAGGCTTTGGGACCCTGCACCCGCGTGGGAGACTTGGAAGAAGTTACTGGGTCCTGGCTTCGGATCGGCATCGGCCGTTGCGCTCACTTGGGGAGTGAATCATCGGATGGAAGATCTTCCTCTCTGTCTCTCCTCTTCTCTGTATATCTGACTTTCCAATAAATAAATGAATAAATCTTAAAAAAAAAAATCCACGTGACAGGCCCGGCATGACAGCCTAGTGGCTAAATCTTCTCCCTGCATGCACTGGGATCCCTTGTGGGCACTAGTGGCGGCTCTACTTTCCATCTAGTTCCCTGCTTATGACCTGGAAAAGCAGTAGAGGATAGCTCAAAGCCTAGGGCCTGCAAACATGTACAAGACCTGAAAAAGCTCCTGCTCCGGACTGGCTCAGCTCCAGCCATCACAGCCCCTTGGGGAGTGAACCAGTGGATGGAGGGTCTTTGTCTCTCCTTCTCTCTGCATGTCTACCTTTAGAAAAAATAAAAAAATAAAAAGCCCGGCGCCATAGCCTAGCAGTTAAAGGCCTTGCCTTGATTACGCCAGGATCCCATATTGGCGCTGGTTCTAATCCCAGCAGTTCCATTCCCATCCAGCTCCCTGCTTGTGGCCTGGGAGAGCAGCTGAGGACGGCCCAAAGCCTTAGGACCCTGCATCCGCTTGGGAAACCCGGAAGAGCTGCAGGCTCCTGGCTCCAGATCGGTGCAGCTCGGCCATTGCAGTTACTTGGGGAGTGAACCATCGGATGGAAGATCTTCCTCTCTGACTCTCCTCTCTCTTTCTCTCTCTATATATATCTGATTTTGCAATCAAAATAAATACATCTTGAAAAAAATAAATAAAAAGAAATCCATGACAGGTTCCTGATTACTCAAATGCTGAGTTAGCTGGCTTCAAAGGTCTCCATGAATTTCACTTCCAGCTGCTACTGAAGAACAGGATGTGAGAGAGTGCAGACACCTCACAGCCACCGAGCAGACAGCAGAGCAGCACTGTCGAGAGCCCGAGGATTACCAGGTCCTTCTGCGCCAGGGCCTGCTGCCGCTTCCGTTCTTCCGTGGCTGCTCCTTCTCCCTCGGGGGGCCTCTTCTCCATGGCGACTCCAGCAGGCTGTGAGCTCCCTTCAGACTGAAAGGTCTAATAAACAAGCAGGATCAGCTCAGGGTCTTCATGCTACACTGCCTCAACTCACAAAATCATCTAGTAAAACTACAATTAAAATCTTATCATCTGTGTACCAAAAAATCAGTGCACAAACTCAGCAGAAAGCTCTACTTTGTCAAATAAAGTATTTTACATAATAACTACAGCTTACCTGATTAATCTTCCTCAGTTCATTTGTTGCTTCAAAGTGACCTGGTTCCAATTCTAACACTTTCTCATAATCTAAGTAAAACAGAAAAGAATTTCTGAAAGATATTCAGAAACCTAAGTGTATCACTGAGCCAACAGAACTGTACTCCTTATTAAATCCTGCATAATCACAAAATGATCACTTTTATGTGCAACTGACAGGCAGCTGTCCTACAGCAAGAGGAGGTGGGGGAGGTCCACCACCAGGCCTCTCCCAGGACAGACCAAACCCTAGGACAAGCTTCCCCCCAGTCCCGCAGAAGACATCTGCCATTTTGAGCCACACCTACTAAAATCACAAAGCAGCACAGCACAGCCAAATATCAGCTTTTGGCACACATTCTGATTCATGCTACGCGATCTATTTTATGAAACGAGAGGAGTCACAATAAACACAATCAGGAGTTCTGCTTAGGCTGCCTTACAGCAGTGACACGACCTTTTATTACAAGACACTGGCCCTACACGGCACAGGGTTGAGATGAAGTAGAATCAGCCTTGCCCTCAACATGCTTGGGTTCAACCAACGGTGCCAGTCCTGGGTCCCTGCCCCCAGTGCGACACCTGCACGAGTTCCCAGTCCTGGGTCCCTGCTCCCAGTGCCGACACCTGCACGAGTTCCCAGTCCTGGGTCCCTGCTCCCAGTGCCGACACCTGCACGAGTTCCCAGTCCTGGGTCTCTGCTCCCAGTGCCGACACCTGCACGAGTTCCCAGTCCTGGGTCCCTGCTCCCAGTGCCGACACCTGCACGAGTTCCCAGTCCTGGGTCCCTGCTCCCAGTGCCGACACCTGCACGAGTTCCCAGTCCTGGGTCCCTGCTCCCAGTGCCGACACCTGCACGAGTTCCCAGTCCTGGGTCCCTGCTCCCAGTGCCGACACCTGCACGAGTTCCCAGTCCTGGGTCCCTGCTCCCAGTGCCGACACCTGCACAAGTTCCCAGTCCTGGGTCCCTGCCCCCAGTGCCGACACCTGCACGAGTTCCCAGTCCTGGGTCCCTGCCCTCTGTGCCAACAGCTGCATGAGTTCCCAGCCCCAGAGTTAGCTCTGGCCCAGCACCATCTGTCACAAGCCATAGATGGAGGAGATGCCTCTTCCTCTCTGCATCTTAAATGAATTGAATTAAACTGAAAACAAAACAAAAAATTCAGAGCTGAATTTCCATTAGCAATATAACATCTATTGTTAAACCATCAAGATATTTTCACACTGTAAAACTAAGCCCTGTTACGCAGAGCTCTCTGAAGGCTGCCCTGAGATCACTTAGTTTTCCACAATCATCACTAAAGCTGCTCAGGATCTTTCAGGTAAAGATGATCTGAACACAGTAATACCTGCTTTGGCACCCTCCATGTTCTGCAAAGCAGCCCGAGCAGCAGCCCGTCTGGCATACGCCTTTGTGTAGTTTCGATTTAAGGCAATTGCTAAATTACAATCAGACTCAGCAACAGCAAACCTGCAATTAAAAATCGAAGCAAACCAAATTTATCAAAACTTATTATTTAAAACCAAAGCTGCAAAATGTGTTTCTGACTTGTGACACCCTCAAAAGATTTCCCAAATGAAGGTGTGTCCACTTCCCTTATTAAATGAAGCCTGTAAAGCCAGCACTTTTTGGTTTTTCCTGAAAGGGCAGATTTACAGAGAGGAGAGAAAGGGAGAACTCTCTCCCACTCATTGATTGACTTCCTACGGCTACAACAGTCAGAGCTGGGCCAGTCTGCTGCCAGGAGTCGGGAGATTTTTCCGGGTCTCTCAGTGAGTGCAACATGCCAAGGCCTTGAGTTCATCCTGCACTGCTTTCCCAGGCCAAAAGCAGAAAGCTGAATTGGAAATGGAGCAGCCAAGACATGAACTTGGTATACTGTTACTGCAGGTGGAGGCTTAACTACTATACCACAGTGCCAAGCCCCTCAAGCTATAAGTCATGATTATGGTAGGCTAGCAGCCTTCCTTTTCATGCAAGGATTAAGAAGGACCTTCTCAGTACCATAAGTCTTCACCAATGCAATCTCACTGGAAAAAAAAATAGTTAAAAAAATGGAAACAAATAAGACTCACATTCTCAGAAGCATTGTGGGCTATGCAGAAAACTAAGAAAAAAAAAATCAAGAGACAGGCCTAAAAAACAATGAAGTTTGGCAAAGTGACTGATGTTCTACAGGCCAACAAAGAACTCATACAGGCTCAAACAGAAAGTGACATACTGACAAAGACTCTGAGGAAGATGAAGGTGGGAACTTCTCCCACAAACCCACACTGAGACACAAGACAACAGACAAGTTCAGCACAACTCAAGTCCAAATCTTGATGGGGTATTTAAAGGAATTAGCAAGGAGGAATTTCCACTGATGAGGTAAACACCCAGGACATTCCCCAAGAGCAGCAAGGGAGGGAGCATGCGCTGCCCCAAATTTAAAATAAATAAATAAAAGGTGTTGAACTTTATCAATACCTGGAGAAATGTAAATGGACACCCAGCCCCGAGACAGACAGACAGACACACACACACACAGACACACACACACACACACACACACACACACACACACACACACAGAATGCTCCAGCATCACTGCCTGAAGTAAGAAAAAAAGGGCGGGGAAAGAGGAGAAGGAGCAAGAAGCCACCCAGTGAGTCACAACAGCAGAACAAGACAACGAAAATAGAACCCACAGCCAATGAGTCCTGCACTAGTATTCAGAGAAACGGGCATGCCTCAAGGGCCACAGAGCACAACAGGTGTAAAGCTCAGTGAGACAGCAACGTCCGGGATACGTTATGTAGGAGACACATGTGAGGATCCTTCCTGTACTCAGATGGTCACTGTGCTGCAGTGGGCACTGGGACAGTGAGTTAAGCTGTCCCTTGGAATGCCACACTCCATGTCAGATGCACCTGGGAGTGTAACGAAGTCGAAGTCTTGGTACTTGGGTTGCTGACTTTCACTGCCAAGAGAGCGCCAGAGCACCCCCACTCCTATCTTCAGCCTGGAAGACCTGGCTGTGGCCGGCACCAGCAAACAGATCTCTCCTTCTAAATCAGTCTTCAAAAAGCAAAAACAGATGGTAAACTAGAAGGCAGGCCTGGGACAGGTATGTCAAAGAGCATCACAGTAGCTTCAAAACCAACATTCTTCCTAATTCATCCTGAGGAATCTTCCAAACTTCATGGAAAGTGTATGCTATGAAGAAACTGCATGTGGATTTCAGTTTTTGCAACCGACTATCCCATCTTGCATGAACTCATGAAGTTTAGGTATCAAATACTACACGATGCACACATTCCCCTAGCTTGTGAAGATATCAGTAGCATAAAGCATGCCACTTCAACAGTCAAGCCTCAGATGCCACCATCGTCTGTATTCCCAAACAGGCCCCACAGTGACAAGGCCCTCTTGTCAGCATTCACCTTTTCAAGAGTTCCTGACAGCTCAGTCACGTGAGCGTAACACTACACTGATGTCTTCAACATTAAATACGCACTTAAAGAGTCAGTCTGACTTAAGGTAAACGCTGACAAATTTTTATATTGTCTTGATTATATTGTATTTTCATAAATTTATTTATTTGGCAGACAGGCAATTCAAGAATTAGACAGAGAAGACTTTGCTCTCATCAAGTGGTTGACTCGTCAAATGCCTATGACAGCCAGGGTCCTGCCCTAGTATTCAGAAAGCGAGTGTGGCCAAGAGCTGGGACTCAATGCAGGCTTTCCAAGCGCACAGTAAGAGCCCAGCCACATGCCCATGGCCTACAGCAGCAGAAAGCTGGAACTGGGAGCTAGAATCAGGATCTTAATCACTAGGCCAAGCATTCATCCCTGGAAAACAGCTTACATTTACCAGGATGGGGCCCAGCACAGTGGCCTATTAGCTAAAATCCTCGCCTTAAATGTGCCAGGATCCCATATGGGTGCCGGTTCTAATCCCATTGGCTCTGCTTCCCATCCAGCTCCCTGCCTCTGACCTGGAAAAGCAGTCGAGGACAGCCCAAAGCCTTAGAACCCTGCATCCGCATGGAAGACATGGAAAAAGTTCCTGGCTCCTGGCTTTGGATTGGCAGAGCACCTGCCGTTGTGGTCACTTGAGCAGTAAATCATCGGACAGAGGATCTCCCTGTATCTCTCCTCTCTGCATATCTGACTTTGCAATAAAAATAAATAAATTTTTTAAAAATTACCAGAATGAAAATGAACTAGATTACATAGTAAATAAAAAGCTTTCAAAGTAATGGAAGAAAATTCACTGCCATGCATTTTATTCCACAAACTTTCCTTCCGTGGCCTGGGTCTGAGGACTCCTGAGTAAAGTGAGGGATGGGGCACAGCTTGGGCACTGAGGTCCACAGTGGGGGGCAGGCACTACAGTACAGCAGGTAAAGCAGCCATCCCAGGCAGCGCCAATATGGGTGCTGCCTCAAGTCCTGGCTGTTCCACTTCCCATCCAGTTCCCAACTAATGGCCTGGGATAGCAGCAGATGGCCCAAGTGCTTGGGTCCCTGCATCCCGTGTCAGAGACTTCAGAAGACGCTCCTGGCCTTGAACTGGCCCAGTTCCAACTACTGAGGCCATTTGGGGAGTGGACCAGCATATGGAAGATTTCTCTCAGTCTCTCTCTCTCTCGCTTTCAACATAAAGACTTAAAAAAAAAAAAAAGGTTCACAATTGCAAAGGTAATTTCACGAAAGGGAATAGCTAGAAAAAGTTGAATAGAAATGCAACATGTCCATCTGTTCCAGATATTTTACTATGAAAGAGCCAAGTCAAGCCCCACAGCTACAGCAGCAGATGCTGAGTCGGCCCACAGCCACAGCAGCCACCTGCTGGCAATGTCTTACTTTTTCAGCCTGAGGTGCGCTGATGCTCTGTTCGTCGGTAACACAGGATTGTACGGGTCAGCATCCATGCCTTTCGTGTAGCATTCAATTGCCTCATCATATTTTCCTTGCTTGAAGTATTTATTTCCCTGAAAGAAAATCAAAACGGTCTTTTCAATAATGTTTATATATTTTCATCTACTCAAATCAGCACTAACTAGCAGTAACAGGAGACATGGAAAGCCCAAGCAGCAGCTGAGCCCACCTGGCCACAATGTCTGCCCTTCACAGACCTTTGCTGTACATCATTCTGTGGTTGGCAGCCAAAAGCCCTGGCAGAAAAACAAGTAAAACACATCGAGAGGAGGTTTGACCTGAAGAGAGCTAAGCCTTCTAAAAAGCAACGGAACAGATCTGCCTCACCATGTGCAATGTTCCAGGATTCCCAGAGACTGTCTGAGACAAAAACGACAGCACCCCACGAGAGATGGGCAGGGTGGGGTGGAGCACAGCACATATACCTGAGGCTCCTGGTAGGAGAGTGCAGCACCCACACTGAGAGCCATGCACTGGCCATCTGTGAAGTCCCTCAGGACTCCAGGACCAGGGCCAGTACTGTGAATACAATAAGCCAGGGACAGTGCCACAGTGCCCGGAGATTCAATTATACTCTTAGTCACCTCACAGCGTGGACGGTAGAGAAACAGGAAGGTCAGGAACTGCTCAGACCTGAGCCTAGCCTGCCTGCCTCTGGAATGGACATCCTGATGATGTGGCAAGACAGTTTAGGACTGGGTGGCTATATCCTCACGTGCTTATCAAGAGACTAGGACTCTGCAAGTGCAGTGAAACAAAGACCTGGGCCCGGCGCGATGGCGCAGTGGTTAAGGTCCTCGCCTTGCACACCCGGGATCCCATATGGGCACAGGTTCTAATCCCGGCGGCCCCGCTTCCCATCCAGCTCCCTGCCTGTGGCCCGGGAAAGCAGTCGAGGACGGCCCAAAGCTTTGGGACCCTGCATCCGCGTGGGAGACCCGGAAGAGGCTCCTGGCTTTGGATTGGCTCTGCTCTGGCCGTTGCGGCCGCCTGGGGAATGAATCATTGGATGGAAGATCTTCCTCTCTGTCTCTCCTCTCTGTATATCCGCCTTGCCAATAAAAATAAAATAAAATCTAAAAAAAGAAAGAAAGAAACGGAGACCTCACTAACCAGCCTGCAAGCTTAGGTGTCTAATGGGGAGTTTCAGCCACTAACAACCCGGCACACGGCCCCTCCTGGCTCCACACTGGCAGGGCACTATGACTATAGGTCCCTTCTCTGGGATGGATTCCTCTAGCGAGCTTACCTCATGTCCCATCTGCCTCCCTCTTCCCTGTCCTGGCTGTGGAGTCTAACCCACTGTAGTACCTTGTCCTTCAGAGCAAGAGCCTTCTGTGAGTCCACGCGAATCCCGTCTTCCTCCGACTCAGACTCCTGAGACCCAGAACCATGGGTGCTGTCCTCCTTGTCCAGCTCCTCGAGGATGCTGTCCTGAAGCCATGGGCAAGGAGCGCACAAAGTGATTCGACCAGCAGGACAGGAACTTAAACAACTATAGTTTATAGACCTACAGGCCACTATATCTTGAGGGGCCCGCACTATAGCACAGCAGGTAAAGAGGTGCCCGGGACGCCAGTTCCCCGTACAGGCACCAGCTTGTGTCTTGGCTGCTATAGTTTCCACCCAGGTCCCAGCTAATGGGGCTTGGAAAGCAGTGCAAGATGGCTTAAGTGCTTGGTCCCTGCACCCATGTGACAAAGCTCCTGACTCCTGGCTCAAGACTTTCCTCTGGCCTAACTCTGGCCACTGTGGCCATGTGGGGAATGAACCAGAGGATGAAAGAGTGGTTGCTCTCTCTAATGTTGCCTTTCAAATAAATAACTCTTAAAAAAAAAAAATCACACTCGGAGGAAAATGTAAATGACTTGAAGACTCTGACTCCGAGCCAGAGCAGGCTGCATCACTCTCTCCCCACCTGTGGGCAGTGGGGTGCTGAGGCTTCATACCACAAGTCCCACCCCAGAGCACCCCAGCACCAAGCCCTACGGCTCACAGCCTCACCGCCCAGGGGCAGTGGCAGTGACTGACACTCTCCACAAGGAGACCAAAATGGAATCCAGCCGATTCCTGTGTGTCCAACTCAGGAACCCAGGTGGTGTGGCGACCATAGACCCAAGACCACAGCTGCTGACCACAAAAAGCTTCTCACTTCAGTCTCCAGAGCCTAACTCTCTGACTACAAGCCTCTTTCAGGGTAACAAGTAACTCATAGAAGCCATGGGTGTCTAAGATCATATGCTGTCAAACATACTGAAAGCTCAGGCCAGCACTGAGGCACAGTTGGTTAACCCGCTGCTATAGCAACAGCATCCCATACGGAAGTACTGGTTCAAGTACCAGCTGATGTCCTTTCATACCATCTCCCTGCAAATGCACCTGGGAAAGCAGCAGAAGATGGCCCGAGGGGTCAGCACAGTGACCTAGCGGCTAAAGTTCTTGACTTGAACACATAGGGATCCTTTATGGGCACAGGTTCTAATCCTGGAGGCCCCGCTTCCCATCCAGCTCCCTGCTTGTGGCCTGGAAAAGCAGTCAAGGATGGCCCAAAGCCATGGGACCCTGCACCCATGTGGGAGAGCCGGAAGAGCTCCTGGCTCCTGGCTTCGGATCAGGGAAGCACTGGCTGTTGCAGTCACTTAGGGAGTGAATCATCAGATGGAAGATCTTCCTCTCTGTAAATCCGCCTTTCCAATAAAGATAAATAAATCTTAAAAAAAAAAAAAAAGAACAAAAAAAGATGGCCCGAGTGCTTGGGCCCCTGCACCCACTGGGGTGGGTGCTGACTCACCCACTGGGGTGGGACCCTGAGGGAGTGCTGGACTCCTGGCTCTTGGCTAGACCTACAGAGAGCGAGCTCGATCTTTCTCTTTGCTTATCTCTGTCACCCTGACTAGCCAATAAATCAATCTTAAAAAAGGAAAAAAAAAAAAAAAGAGAGAGAGAGAGAACACTTTTCAGGATGATATATTTTTAAACACCACTTTCCTTTTTATGGGCACACAGTAAGTACACACAAGCAGCGGACGTGCTGTGACATGTCAGCACACACACACACACACTCCAGGACAGCTGGGCAGGTGTATCAGCAGTGAGAGGACAACTGCAGACAATGCTCAGCCTGAGCAAGTGACAGAGCACTGACCACGGGGCCACAGGTGTCCCAACACAGCTGCTGGACAGCAGCCATGGCCAGAGCTCAGACAGACGGGCCTGTTCGCCCGACCACTTAGCCCAGCCCAGCATCAGCACAAGCACATTCTCTTGGCAATCACTCCACAGGTATCCCTGAGGTAACTGGGGATGGACAGCAGGGGCCCTCCAAGGTAGAGGACAGCCTGTCTCTGGGGATGAACAGCAGGGAGCCCTTCCAGGAAGAGGACACACCTGGTTCTGGAAGCAATACCCATGGTCCACGTCACCATGTGACAGAATAGATGCACCTCTTGACACACAGTCCCAACCCTCACTCCTGTCCTGTGTCAGAAGCAAGATGCAGCCCTGAAGAGACTACGGAACAGATCCAGCCCTCAGGGACCCCTTCTGTAAAAAGAGAGGAACCCACCCTGACCGCGCGCTGTCCCACCACCAGGAAACATTGCCTCCTCTGCTGCCTCACTGAGAGCAAACTCAGCAGGATGAAACAGTGCATATATAACAGGGAGGCTGTAAAACATTCCCCCAATTCTTCAAACTCCAAGAAATTCCTATCCAAGAGCTGAGACAGGAAGGGCACCAACTCACCACGTCCAGCTTGGCCCATGCCTCATAATCATAAGATTTTATCCTGTTTTTTGTGTTTTCTTCTTTAATTCTTTTGGAAGATTCTTTAGTTTTCACTTTCTTCTTTCTTCTAAAATTCCCATTTCGAATAGGAGGCAAATTCTAGGAGAAAAAGGTATGTGGTTTTCACCACTCTGCTCTATTTTTTGTATAACTAATGATGTTTAAAATTGTCACCAATTTATATTTTTAAGAAGCAATTTTTAACTTAACACCTAAGAATATAAATTTATCATCTGCCATTATAATAATTGCAGCTTAAAAAAAATGTCTATAAGAGGCTAGTACTTTGGTGCAGTGGGTTACGCAGTGGCGCCAGTTCAAGTCCCTGCTGCTCCACTTGGGAAAGCAGAGAAGGAAGCCCCAAGTGCTTGGGCCCCTGCACGCACTCAGGAGACCCAGAAGGAGTTCCTGGCTCCTGGCTTCAGCTCAGCCCAGCCTCAGCCTTCACAATCATTTGGAGAGGGAATCCACAAATGGAAGATACCACTCACACTCTACCTAACTGCCTTACAAATAAATCAATTAATTAAAAAGGAAAAATGTTGAATACTGTTTGTTCATAAGAAAATATTGTTGGGCCCGGCGGTATGGCCTAGTGGCTAAAGTCCTCGCCTTGAACGTGTCAGTATCCCATATGAGCACCAGTTCTAATCCCGGCAGCTCCACTTCCCATCCAGCTCCCTGCCTCTGACCTGGGAGTGTAGTCGAGGACGACCCAAAGCTTTGGGGCCCTGTACCCCCAAAAGGAGACCTGGAGGAAGTTCCTGCTTCCCAGCTTCGGATCAGCACAGCATTGACCATTGCAGTCACTTGGGGAATGAATCATCGGATGGAAGATCTTCCTCTCTGTCTCTCCTCTCTGTATATCTGACTTTGTAATAAAAAAAAAAAAAAAGACAGTATCTTACCAAATTTATAAACTTGGGATGGGTGGGAATTTGGGTGGGGCTTTTCCCTTTGTTTCTCCCCTGACCCCAGATACAGGGAAAAAATTATAATATTAGTGTGGAAACAATGGTATTACCCACTTTCACGCTGTAGCCCTTGACCCTTTGTACCCTAATCAACTAAGTAAGATTATTAAAAACAATTAAAAAAAGAAAGAAAATATTGTCTAGAAATTCAACCTGCAACTTCAATTTGCAATCCTAAATTCAAACCTCAAAAACGACCTAACCCTCATACGAAGATGCCTGAGCACAAGGTAAGGTGACTTCCCACTCGACGTCTCCTCGGCTGGGGCGAGGTCTGCGTGGCAGGGCAGAGGCCTGAATGGCATAGTGGGGCAGCTGGACGCTGCTTCCTGCCGTCCCCAATGCCAAGAGGCAAGCAGCAGGGACAGCCCCTCCACCTGGGCAACCTCAGCTCCAGACCTGGCCCCATTCTGCCTGCACGGAGTAAGTGTGTGCACACAAGCTCTCTCTAGTAAGTAAATACTTTACAAGGCAAAAAGGTATTTTCTACAAAAAATCTGAAATATAAAATTTTTAAATGTTCATAGAAATGTAATTAAAAGATAAGCTTATTTTGGGATAAAACAAATTTGAACTTCATACACACAAGGGGTGTTCAAAAAGTTCATGTAAAATGCGTATTACACAAATACTATGTATGGATTCTAAAATAACCTGACCCTGTAATTTCATTTTCCTCTGAACTTCCTGAAGTACTCATCTACGCAAACATCTAAACACATGCCCTACGTATTACATGATGTATCAGTTTACCTTTAAACACAACCACAAAGCCATCCTTTCAGCCAGATCATAGTACTGTCAGCACAATTATCACAAAGACCAACTCAGAAGGAGACTCTCCCAACTCTGACGTTCTCACACCGTCCCTTGCATCACTTACCTCTTCAGGAACACCACTCTGCCTTTGGAGTTCCAAATCCTTCTGCCTGATGTCTTTTTCCCAGTTCTCTAAATCCCTCACAAAGTCTTGTAGCTCTTCTGCATTTTGTTTCACCTGCAGCTGTAATTCCAAGGCTTTACTTGATGTCATTTTGACCTACAGGTTGTGAACAACCCATTCCCAATGAGAAAGGGGTTACAGACAATCCTCAACTGGCAAAGAAGCCATGCTCTCCCAAACCCAACATAAAATGAAGACACCGTAAGTTCAAAATGTGCATGATGCCCCAAGCCCACTCCATCCCGTAGCTCAGAGCACCGCATGCCCTACAGATGCTGGGTCCCCCCGCATGTCCCACCAGCACCCAGCACTGTGTGGTCAGAGCAGGGAGCCGGCCCAGAAAACACTAGGTGCAGTTCCCACCGAGATGTGCTCAGCCGCCAGCCACGGCATCCACGAGTGGCCCCAGGGCAGCCAGCTGCTGCCCACCAGAGCCAGTGCGGGCATCTGACTTCCTGCTCTACTCCTTCCGGCAGGTGTAGGTCACACAAGGCCTGAGGCAGCAGAGGGGAAAGGCAAACCCTCGCAACTACTCGCTCTGCAGGCAGCATGGGGCAACTCCAGCAAGGCCGGTAACAAGTCCCTTCTCTCCTGGCCACACACTAGCGCAGTCGGGCTGCTTGTCCAGGCAGAGCCAGGGGCTGCTGCAGGATGAGGGGTCACGGGCCACGAGACCCACCCCTATCCTGACTCGTAAAGGTGACAGAAAAGGACCAAGTAACCAATCCGAGCAAGGACTCGGGAGCCTGGTCAGATGAGCGACACCAGCAAACAACTCCAAAAGGGCACGTGGGTGGACATTCTGTCCAGCCAAGGCCACCCCGAGCCAGGTAGAGCCTGGGATCTGAACCCGTGGTGCCCGCGGGGCGCAGAGTCCCCAGGGAGAGCCAGGCGGACCAGTCCCTCTTGGAAGCCAGAGGCGGCTCTCCATACACCACGGGCCGGGGCCGGGGTCACCCCACACCCTCTCCAGGGTAACGAAGGCTCGGGCAAAGACCTGCTCAGCCGCTCAGCTGCTCTGCCGCGCTCACCTCACCGCAGCGCGTCGCACACACTTGCGTCACACACAACGCGTCGCAGTCGCGCCGTCGCACTCACGTCGTCACTCCCGCCGCGACTTCACCCTACAAGTCTGCGCACGCACTTGCGTAGAACGTCCGTCCGGGGTCCTCCGGGGCGGCCGGGTGATTGGCAGCTCCAGGGGCTTCCCGGGACCCGGGTGCTCTGCCGTCTCGGGAGAGGAGTCGTGCTGAGTCGTGCTCCTGGTGGAGTTGAGCTGGCCCCTCTCTCCACTTACGGATCCCACTCAGGGGCGCCGACTGCTCCGCTTCCTGTCCACCTCCATGGCCTGGCCCAGTGCACACATCTCACTGGGGGAGTGAGCCAGTGGTTGGAAGATCTCTGTGATCTCCCCAAATTCCACTCTCCTGAGTCCCTCCCTGGGACCTCACAGCCACGCGGATAGCCACAGGGTGCGGAGAGTCGGGTTGGTTTGTTCCCGTTGAGAGTAAACCCCAATCGTGCTTGCACACGCATCTTGGCGAGCCAGTCCTGGTGGTTTAGGTGTGCCACAGTGAGGACGGGCCGAGCAGGCATGCCTGCTGCTAGCTGCAGCAGTCGGATGCTGCCGGTAATGCTGTGAGTGCATAGCACCTGTGCAGGAAAGGGGGTGTCCACCTCGTGAGAGTGGCCTCTTGGGGGGAGGGTGACACACTGAGCAGAGAGAGCTTGGGCCCAGACACCAGCCCTATGTCAGCTCCCGCAGCCACGGGGCTCACCTCCCCGTGACACTGTCAGGGGCTCCTTGTTTGTTCACTCTTCACTCTACAGCCTGGAAGCACCCCCAGGCACCGGTTGAGGGGCCACCAGCCACAATTGCCCCCTCCACACACACCTGGCTGCTGAGCCTCTGCTGCTCCTGGTCTCAGAGCTCACTCAGGGAGCCAGCTGCCCACACACCCACCCCCACGCCTGAGAAGCAGAGACCCTGGGCAGAAGCATCAGCCCAACTCCAGGAAGAGAGAGACGTGGCTCAGGTTCCCCTCAGTATCTTTAATTGGCAACTCAACCCTGAACATGGTCGTTCCAGGCTGGCCCTATGGGACAGCACCTGTTCCTTTGTGAGGTGGTGCTGAGCCAGAGCTTCACCATTCCCCACCCAAAGGGCTGCCCCTGGAGAAGCCCGATTGGACGTGTCAGTGTCAGCTGACACCACTTGTGCTTCCCATGAGGGGACGATGACTTGGGGCAGGAATGCCCACCAGTGAAAGCTTCCAGATTAGGTGTAGAGTTAGGGGGCGGGAGGAGCGGGGGCTGTCCACAGAACAGCCCTCAGAGTGAATCAGCATTCCCAGGGCCTGGCTAGGAGACACTGACCCCAGCCCCACACTCGGTGACCTGGGCCTCTTCCCCCGAGCTAGGACATGTGCCAGTCCCAGTGTCACCAGGCCCAGGAGGGAACAGATCCTTCCCTAGAGAGTGGGTTCACAAGCCCTGGCTCCCAGCTGTGGGCTGTGACTCCCGTTATGGGGTCTCCTGGTCAGAGATGCCTGTTATGGATTGGGGTCAAACACTTCCGGCCACAGGCCAGTGCGCCTCAGGCTGGCAAGCTGCCTGCCTGCCTTCCTACTGCATGGAGGACACGATGTAGGCTGTGGCGATGTACTTCCTGCCGTTGCCGTAGGTGCTCTTGTCCCAGGTATATGTCTGGATGGCCAAGGGGTGTCCACCCAGGCTTAGCTGGCACCTGTGGGGAAGGCCATGTGGTCACGGGGCCACCCTTGCCCTGTCTGGGTCCTATAAGCTGCCCAGCACAACAGCACTGATTTGTACAGGGTCAGACCTGTTCTTTCTCTTCTGTTCTCCCAAAGAACACCGCTGCTCTCTCATCCACAGGAGCACTCTGAAGCCCTGGAACCCCCAGGCTGAGACATTCCCAGGTGAAACAGGACCTCAAGGGCTTTGGAGCAGCAGGAGGAGCAGAGTCTCCTCCAGAGGCCCCAGGCTTAGTGGGTCTCGAGGTTTCCCACACAGACCCAGGGCCCAGCAGACATGCTGAATGCCCCCAGCAAGCTCTGAGTGACCCCAGGTCCCAGGGAGGGTTTCACTTGGTGGAAGCTATGACTCAGCAGCGGCTTAGCATATCAAATCCCATACGGGAATGCCCAGGTAGAGCCCCAGCGAATCTACTTCTCAGCCAGCACCCTGCTCATGTGCCTGGGAGGCAGTGAAGGGATGGAGCGAGACCCAGGGTCCCTGCCATCCATGTGGGAACTCCTGGCTCCAGGTTTCAGCAGGGTTCAGCTCTGGCTACTATAGGCATTTGGAGGGGTGTAAACCAGCAGGTAGAAGAGCTCTCTATGTCTCTCCCTCTCTCTCTGTCACTCTACTTATCAAATAATAAAACAAATCTTTAAAATCAAAGATTTCCCTTGTGGGGAGAAGCAGAAAATGTTTCTGAAGCTGGTGGATTAACCCTGAGGCCAGCGGGTGTGCCACTCCACCCCAGTTGCCTCCCCAGTCGGGCTGCTCACTCTCGGCCTGGCCTGGCGATGAAGCACAGTGAGTACAGCGCAAACTCGAACTCAGGGCTGCTGCCGATGAAAGCCGAGCCGACTTCCTTATAGAAGCCATCCCAGCTGAACTGCAGGGCCAGCACGTCGGGGTATGAATCCCACTGTGAAGAGAGGGCAGCAGATGCGTTGCGAGGCTGCCTGCAGGTGCCATGGGAGGAAGGCAACCCTCTGGCCCCTGCTTGGTACAGAGAAGGCAGGATGGGGGCAGTGGGCCCAGCACTCACAGGCCCATCGTACACATGGCTGAAGTAGTCAACCAGGCCCTCCTTCTCCTGCAGGTAGAAGCGGATCCAGTTATGGAAACCCGTGACCTTGCCTTTCTTGATTTCACCTGTAAGATCCAGGCGTGTGACCCGGCTGTCCCAGCCTCTCCCCAGGCCCCAGACCCTTTAGTTCTGGCCCTCAGAAGGGTCCCTTCCCTGGCTACCTGCCCCAGTGGCCACTGGGGGATCCTCGTGGCTCTGTCTCAGGGGTCTAGCCAAGGAGGGACTCAGGGGCAGGACTGTAAGCAAGAGGCCACAGATGTGGCCAGGCCACCCTGAGGCCAATGGCCATCCCAGAGGAACCCATATGTGGGTCTGTCCTGCTCGCACTCTGAGTTCCTCAGGACAGGTCAACCTGAAGAATGGCCTCTCAGACCCACCATCATGTCCCCACATGCTCTGAGCAGCCCGGGCCCCCACCCCTCCACCAGGGTCCTCCAGGGCAGGGACCCACCCGAGAAGACGTGCTCAAAGCCACTGGAATCCCGTTCCTCGCCACTGCGGGAGTACAGCCCGAACCACATGTTGTGCAGGTCATCCACCAGCTCCTGCTCTGAGTCATAGCGGTCTATGGGGAACATGGGACCTTGTACAGGGGAGGCAGGGCTGGGGCCTTCGCCAAGAGACGCTGGGCCCAGCTCCCCATGTGTCCAGCCTCCCTTGCAGCAATGGTCAGTGGCACCTGCCATGCCAGGCCTTGATACAGAGGCTGAGGACTGAGCAGAGGAAGCAGAAGACAGTGGACAGCCAGGGGACTGGCCCAACGAACCCAGCGTGATGGAGCAGCTCGGGATGCTGCACCCCAAACCTGTCCCCAATCGCTTCTCAGCCTTTTGGCTAAGATCAAGTGTAGTATCCAAACCTGTCCCCAAGCAGGCATGTGTTGAGAACCAGATCCCCAAAACCGCGATGTTGAGAGGAGACTGCTGGGCCATGATGGGGCCACGAGGGCCTCAGCAAGGGGCCGCTTCCCACCCTGCGCCTGGACCAGGTCCTGTCCCTGGCCCGCCAACCTGTCTCATTGTTTTCTGCTAGTCGGACGCCAGGGGGCAGCTGAGGACTGTGCTGTGCCTGCAGCATGCCAGGTTCACCCTTGGCTCTGTCTAGAGCAGTGTGCACCATTTGCCAGAGCACCCAGCAAGACGCCCTAGCTAGAATGCAGCAGCTCTGGGCAGAGGGCCCTGGATGAAGCCCAGCTGCCTGGAGCTTGGGAGGACATGTGCAGGACCTGGCAACAAACTCAGCCAGCCTCCCTGGATTTTCTGTTGTTGCTGATTCCCCAGCAACCAGCCCCTCCCCAGACAGTAGGGAGCAGGATGGGGAGCTCCATGCTCTGTGCCCTGGGTAGGGTAGGCACAGGGCCTTGCCAGAAAGCCCCAGCCTGAAGCCAGAGGTGAAGCCTGATGACCAGGCGGCGGGGTGGTTTCCACGCCACCAATCTTGCCCGGTGGGCTCCCATACCTGCCCCATGCCCACACTGCATGGTGTGCCCACTGTGCCCGCCTGCCCATTGTGCCCAGCACACATGCTCACTCTGCTGCAGCAGGAAGTCACAGAACTCTCTCATGATAGCTGTCTTCATGACCTCACGCAGGAAGGCCTGCTGCTCGGCCAGCTGCTGGGCGCCCATATGCTCCCTGTGGCCCGTGGCCGGCTGGTAGTTGTTGAGCAGCCGGATGAAGGCCGCATATGTGGGCTTGGAGAACAGCTCCTCATTTACGTAGCTGAAGAGCCTGGGGTGGGTGGAAGGGACCCACTAAGGCCCTCCCTATGGGGTGTCGGGGATGGGTGGTGTGCACCTCGCTATGGAAGTTCAGCCCCCCAACCCCTGCCAGGCCTGCCAGATGCGGGGAGGGGTGGCTCACGGTTCAGGGCAACGGTCTACGCGGTCCCCAGTCTCTGAGGGCGAGATGCAGTTTTGGCTGTTGAGCACAATGTCTTCCTTACGGGCCTTGTTGGTATCAGCCCTGTAGATTCGCTCTGAGATGCTCCGCAGCTCCTCCCGAGAAATGGCGTCGCTGCTGCGAGAGAAGCCCTCTGGGGGCATGGCAGGGCAGGATCTCAGCCTCCACAGGCCCATGGCTTGCCACACCCTGGAGGTGCTGCAGGCTAGGGAGCCCTGGGTCTCGGCCTGACTGACCGTGGGCCTCACACAGACGCTGAAAATCCTCACAGCAATTTCTGAAGTGCAGGCAGTGGACATCGCAGTGGCAGGGCTGATGTCTGTCGAAGGCTTCCCGGCAGCGACCCTGGCAGGAGCCAGGAGCTGCATACAAGCCTGAGGGCAGAAGCGTGTGTGGGCCCCAGAACCTGGGCAGTGTCCACTAGGAAATCCCTCCCGATGCCCACACTAGCTCCCAGCCCTGCCACAGCTGGCTGGGCCCCTCCAGGCCCTCAGCATCACCCCCACGCTCTGGCTGAGGAGCAGGCTCACTGCTGGTCGCGGCCGTGCCTGACTCTTCCCCCAGTCCTAGAGATGGCTGTGGCTCCTTGGTGTCCTCTCCACCTGAAGACAAAAAGCAAAGCCACAGTTGAGCTCCCTGAGGGTTTCAGCCCTGTGCATGGGCCCAGGAGGAGACCTATTGGCAGAAGGCAGATGGCTGGCCACCACCTAAGGGGTGCCCTGCTCTCCAGGCAGACAGTGCGCGGAGGGTCCCAAGGCACTCCTCATAGCAGGGCCTTCCTGTGGGGGCTCCAGAGGCAGGGCAGATTGTCAGGGCAAAGGGCTATTCCCTGAGAAGCCATGTGGGGAGGGTATGCCATTTGCTGGCCCTGAGCAGAGAGGGCCAGCGGCAGGGGAGGAAGGAGTGCCCACCGACTGAGAGTCCCTGCCCCCTCACACAGTGGAGGAACACCCTGTCACCCAAGGGAACAGCGGGGCGATAGCCAGCTCTACTCTGCCCATGAAGCTGCTGCCACCATGGCTGTCCCAGTGTACACCAGCCTTCCGCTCCTGTGGTACCCTCTATAGTGCTTCTATGGGGAAGGAGTTTCCAGCTGTGAAGCTCAGGCATGGGAAGTGAAACACTCCAGCCTGGATGTACCACCAGCCTGGTGGTCTGAGAGGCCCTGCTTAGGCTGTCTCTGCTTGCCGGGTTGCCCATGGGAATATCTGCCTCCCCTGGGGATTCCTGCCTCCCATGAGATGCCCTGCCACTCATGGTGAGCTCTGCCACCTGTGGGTAGCCCTGCAGGCCCGAGCATGTTCTGTGCAGCTCTGGAGACCCACCAGGGTAAGGTGCTACTTCTCTCAGCAGACTCAGGCCACCCCAGGTAAAGCTTGGCATGGGGCACAGACGGCACTACTCCAGTTTTCCTGACAGCCACTGCCTTTGTGCCCATATGGCCTCAGTGACACCATAAAGCTGTGTGTCACAAAATAAAAGTTGACGGAAGTCTCAACATTGCGACCCTGAGCAAGCGTTTATCTGGCCATGACTGCTGTGGGCTCTAGGCTGGAATCGTGTGTCTGAGCAGGAATGGCCACATGGCCCAGGCATCTGCCCTGTCCCATTTGATGGGGTGTGGGGTAGGAGAGACAATCTGGAGGCATTGTGGCCATTAGGGCACTGCCTCAAGGACTAAGCTGTGTGTGTGACTGCTGATTTGAACTTTTGCAACTTGAGCCGTGGCAGATAACATTAGCTGTGTTAAAGTAGCCGCGTTTTCTCACTCTGCTCTCATAGAATCAGGGGCTTACACTTTCAAGACTGTGAATCCTGCAAGCTCAGATACTAAGGGAAAATGATGTCTACTATCTTAAGGAGATGCAAGACATGGTGCCCCTGTCCCCATGGGGACTGCAGTGCCTCCCAGGCCCCCAGCCCACGGGAGCCTCACCGGCACGCAGGCACATGTAGTCTGCACAGCAATCCCCATAGCGGGGACACCAGCTATCACACTGGCAGGTGCCACCCCCGGGGGAATCTCTCCTTGCAGCGAGACACACAGGATCCTGTCTCCCCTGTGAGTTAGAGGGGCTAGAAGCTCAGCTCCTGCCTGGTAGTGCCCCTGCAGGAGGGGGTCATTGCTGGACAGACACAGTCACACAGCCTCCTCCTGCCACCTGCCCAGCGCAGCAGGGCTCATCATCAGGCAGAGCAGGGTCTCAGTCCAGCTGCCCCAGCTGGCAGGCACAGCCCCTACCGGGTACCTGAGTACCCAGCTCCAGCCCAGACACCACAGGGCAAGTGGGAGTGCGGATGCTGGCAGGAGGAACCTTGTAGGACAGCAGGTGCTGCCGCTCCCGCCCCTTCCTGCCCGGGCTGCCTTCACATCCCCCTCCCCTGGGGCTCTCTGGGGACTGTGTTCTCAGCACCACACCTCCCTCTTCCTTCCAGACTCTGGCTGTGTTGGGACAGCTGTGAGCAGCCATGGGGGTGGATTCTGAGGTTGGGATGTTGTCAGCTCAGGGCCCAGGCTGTGTGAGTGAGGGCAGGTCAAGGTCAGGTGAGGACAGGATGTCTGATGTGAACCAGGGCTGAGTGTGTTTGGGCACAGCTGGGTGTTGAACTTGGTGAAGTGGTCACTTTGCATCGGTGTCTGGGCAAAGTTAGGGGTGGCCAGAAGGTGACATGAAGGCTGGGAGGGGTGTCAGGCTCAGGAGAGGAATAATTTAAGTCCTGCCTGCTCCACCCAGCTACACCGTCTCACAGCCAGGAGAAGGCTGGGGAGGCTCGGTGGTCAGGCCGGCTAGGGGGCTGACAGCAAGAAGCAGTGCCCTGGTGCCAAGCTGTCCACGACTGACGTTCTGCTTTCATGGCTTCCCAGCTACAGGTTCCTACTCAGGTTACTTAACCTGGGGTGCCTCCATTGCCTTATCAGGGGAAGTTAATGCAGCTTATCTCAGGGAATATTTATGAGGAGTATATGAGCTAATATTAGTGAAGCACTTAGTGCATGGAGGGGGAGGTGAGGGTTCAATGGGCTGGGCCAGCCTCAGCCACAGGCCCGTGTGCCCCTCAGCCATGGATGAGGCACTAGGCCAGCCTGACCAGTGCCGAAGTACCTTCTCACCAGGGACTATGGTCCCGTGGACTGGCCACGCTGGTCCCTGGGAACCCAGAAGAACCACTCTGGAATCTTAAGTCACACTCCTGGGCACTGAATGGTAAGGTCTGGAGGGGTCCCCAGTCAGCTGCCCGCTTGACCAGCCTGGCAGGACATCCAGGACCAGGGCAGGAGGCCCAGGCAAAGCAGGCCCAGGCCAGCAGAGGCCCTGGGAAGCATTTACTTCCTTCCGGCGGCTGGCACACCATGGGCAGCTGAGGTACTAGGAGGACCCCTGGCCCAGGCTCAGGGGGTTTGCTCTAAGTCCAAGCACTGAAGTCCCAGGAGCAGCCTGTGCCAGGGTCCCCAGGGGGTCTTCTGCTGGGGCAACTGGATCTGCCTCAAGGTAACCGAGGGACAACAGAGAGAGCAGGGCTGGGAGGGACCTGTCTGGGGCTGCCCAACTCCTTCTCCAGGGTCTCCTCTCTCCCCTTACTTCCTGAAGATATGCCAGGGGTCCTGCCTGGGCTCCCTGCCTCTATCCTCCAACATCCTCCTGTTGGCTTCTATTTTCTTCTAGTCAGATTCTGCCTCTTCCCACCCCACACCCCAAGACCTGTTGCTCATCCAGAGCCCTTGGTCTCAGGCTGGGCGGACTCAGCCCCGTGAACTCCTCCGGGAGTGCTGCTGTCTCCAAGGAGACTGCATCACCCAGGAGCTGTGTCTGGGCCCGCTGCCTGTATCTTCTCACTGGGATGAGGTCCCCAGCATGCTCGCTTGGCAGCACAGCCCTGAGACTGGCAGAAGCCCCGTAGAACTCACAATCCCACAGTCCCCTGCAGTCTCAGCCAGACTGACCACTGTCCCCGCCAGCCACTATTTCTCTGCCTCTCTTCCCAGGCTGGTGTTCCAGAACATCTCAGGGAACATTGGCCCTAGGATACTCCCCTCCTCCCAGGTGGGCGCTCAGTTGAGAAGGCTTGGCAAACTCCTCCACTGCACAAAGCCACCCCCTCTGGCCACGGACAACATTCCTGAAAGGTTTCCCATCTGGGGATCCTGACCCTTGGAGTGTGGCTGGTCCTCACATCTCAAGATCAGATGCTAGTGCCTGGGGTGCTAAGGCAGGCCTTGGGCAGGCAGAGCGGGGTCTGCTAGGACGCTCCCCCACCCCAGTTCAGCTCCCACATGGACATGCTTCCCACCCATCAACACGGCAGCATTGAGGTCTTGTCATCAGGCTCCCCCAGAGCTGCCCGTCAAGCCCTTCCCTATTCCTCGGGTCCCTGTCCTCTGACCCATTGCACAGCCTCCTGGTGGGGCTTTGTGGTTTCTTCCAGGGTCTGCCTCCCTCCTAAAGGGCAGGCCTCACCCCTGGGCAGCAATAACCTGCAGCCAGACTACTGGGAACCCCACTCTGTGCCATATGGTGCTCCCAGAAAGTAAAGTCTTCCAGAGGGCAAAACCAGCTTGCAAGAAGGGAGGTGTGTGCCCAACCCATCCAGCTGTGAGAAGGGGGTTTCTGGGCTTGCCAGGCCCCCAGCTCTTCATGGACTCCACACCAGCCAGCCACCCTCATCCTTTACCCTGCTCCCCAACTCTCTTCCTTGCAGCAGACCCTGACCCCAGCCTGTGTGCTCCAGGCTGACTTACCGGCACAGGCCAGGCTGCAGAGCATGGCCACCAGCAGTGGGATACCGGCCCTCATGGTGCTGTGGGAAGCCCAAGGGGGGATGGCTCTTCGACTTGATTGGAGCAGGTGAGCAGCCCAGACTGGCTGAGCTGTTAGAGGCACCAGGAACTGTGGGTCTGGAGCCTTGGGAGCCTTGGGGGAGAAGAAGAGGGAGGGACCCCGGGTGGGGCCAACAGGAGAGGGCGGGTCCTGCAGCTGTTTCAGTGAGGGCAGGGGGAAGGTGTGGAGGCCAGCAGGTCCTGCCAGGTGTTTGGAACAGGTCCTGCCAGCTGTGATGGCAGCAAAGTGGGTCATGCAGCCAGGCACAGTGACCAAGTCTATTATGGGGCTCTCCATCCAAGTGGGGGGCATGCAGGGACAGTCCCAGCCTCATTGCTCCACTCCTGGCACCAGCGCCAAGGGTGACAGATGGCAGGTGCCTGGGCGGGTGTGGGGCTCATAGGTCTCTGTGGCTATGGATCTGCGTGGGTCAGTCCCCAGAAGGGACGCTGATGACTCTCACTGAGTCAGCAGTTCAGGTTTTACCTGTTCCAGGTGCTCACAGCTTCCCAGGTGGAACAGTAGTTCTGGGAAGGGCCCAGCATCCCTTGTCTCCTGGGATCCCGGGGCCCCTCCCTCGTGTCCCTTCCTTAGTGAGGGCTCTTAAGTCCTCACAGATGTGAGATCTTCAAGCAGATGGCAGGCAGAACTGTGGTTCCAACAGAGCCCAGGGGCTTGGAAGATGGTCCCCTCCCTCAGGGACCTGTGAAACACCTGCCTGCCCACCTAAAGCTATATTTCCCAGGTACCCAGGCTGAGCAGTTGCTGCTGCAGAGAGTACAGATTGGATCTCAGATCCAAGAGACCATCAAGAATGGTAGCACCATGGGGTGAGAGCCTGGCTCCCTCCCCAGAATGGGGGTATCCCCCAGAGTGAGGGGAGATTGGCATTTGGGGAGTATGTGGTTGCCTGTGCAGTTAAGTGCTGGCACCATTTCGAAGGAGGAGATGGCCTCTGACCCCCAGCTTTGGGGGCTCCCAACCCCAGACTGGCGAGTCCCCTGCTCAGGCATCCAGTGGAGGCCAGAGGCAGAAGGCAATGGGAGCACAGTGCTTACCCAGCAGCCCTGCCGGGGCAGCATATACCAAGGCAGCCCCCATCCCGGGGACCTGAGGTCCCTGCTCCCACAAAGCTGCCTCCTAGACCCCAAGCCAGGAAACAGGTTTCACCTCACAGCTTGGTTCCTAGGGCTCTGGGCAGGCACTTGTGAGGGCGCCCACAGATGTGAGGGTAGGAGAGGAGCTGCTACTAGAATGTGGATGGGGGGCTCAGCCAGTGACTCCTCAACATGTGCAGCTGCCCACAGGGATTGGGTGTGTGCCCCAGGGTGGTGTCGAAGGCAGACCCGCCCCTCAGCTCCCTATTCCTCAACTCATGGTATCTTGGTGTCACCATATACCACAGGTCCCAGAGGGGCCACTGCTGTACCTCTGCCAGCCATGCCAGACAGCGGCAATAAGCAGGTTCCAGGCGACAGTGTGGGAGCCAGCAGAGGAGAGTTGTGGACAAAGATATACCTGCCTGGGGCCAGCCAGGAGCCAAGCCCAAAGGAGGTACCTGGCCAGCCCCGGCCCCAGGTGTGCCGGTCAGCCTGGTGGCTCTGTCTCTCAGAGGCAGCGACGACAAGTTTGGGAATCTCTGATCTGACAGGTGACCGTGACAGCTCCTGCCCCAAAGCCCATCCCCAACCAGCAGGTCCTTCAGCAGTGAGTCTTCAGAGGCTCGGCTGGGCAAAGGGGGTGTACAGCAGCAGGGCGCCTCCGCACCTCTGTTTCCCTAGCAGGCATGACCAGAGCAGGAGTTGCTCCAGGATGAGTCAGTGCCCAGCTGGCACACGAGGAGCCAGACGCGGCGGCAAACTGACTCAGCAGAGTAGTCAAGGAACCTAGCAGCCCCCCCGGGCAGGGTGAGGCCTGCACAGCTCAGCTGTCCACCCTGGGACAGTCCCTGTAGACGTCAGTGTCATCAGGCCTTGGGTGTTATCCTGCAGGACAGGTGCCTATCTCAAAGGTGGATGTCGCCCAACAGCTGTGCCTGACTCTGGGGAAAGCTATGTCCCACTGGCAACCAGTCGGCTCCAAACCCTAGCCCAGTGCTCCACAGACGGAACCAGTAAAGGTGCCACCACAAAGCCACAGAAGATAGGAGCCAAGATGGCTGGTGTCCACCCAAACATGGGCTTCCCTTCTTTCAGAGTCCCACTCGGGGCAGGGGAGTTACTGAGCATCCCTCACGGAGTTAAACCCGGACCTTGTCCACTGACTGTGTTGTTTACCCTTGCATGAGTGTCCCAGCATGTGACTATCAGGGTCTTCCTATACCCAGCAGTGGGCACTTGAGCCTCCTGGCACAGCATCCAGGGCAGGCTTCTCTTCCACAGGCACTAATGTTCAGTTACTACTACAGCTACTTAGAGCTGGCCACTGTAGGCAGTGAAGTCCCTGAACCACAGACACTACAAACAGGAAAAGGGCCCCCATATCCATGGCACAGGGCCACTTCCCACCTCCAGGCACCCACCTGGGCAGTGTCAAACTCCTTCACCCAGGCACCCACATGCCCACAGCTGCCCCCAACTCACACACCAGGAGGAAAACCAGAACCTGAGCAGGCTTCAGACCAAAGTGTGGCAGAGCAGTGCCAGCCCTGAGTGCCCGACTCTCAGGCCAGATATACAAGTGAGCCCGCACACAGCTTGCCTTGCTCCCAGGGTCACTGGGTGGTGTTCTCAGGGTCCCTGTGAGACCTCTGTTCCTGTAAGGCACAGCTGGGATGGGTGAGGGGCAGCCCAGGAGGAGGCTGAGAATAGTGGCTGATAAAGCTGCACCTGCAGAATGCAGCCCCTCCTACAGAACTAAATAAGGTACATTCCTTTGCCCCCCAAACCCTACCTTTACAGCCCCCCTGATAAAAACAACCCCTCATGCCCCTAGGCATAATTTCCCTGCCCTGTCCGTAGGGGATCAGTGAGCTTTGCCAGGGAGTGCCTTCCAATAAAGCTTTGTTTTAAGCTAAACTCTATTCTGTGTAGATTTCTGGTTCTGAACATGAACTCAGCCTTACAACCCCCAAAGCCCCAGGCAGCAGTGGACTGAGTCAGGCTCACTTCTCCAAGCACCCACCCTGCTCATCATCCTGGGAGGAGTGCAGACTGCCACCCTGGCCCTGTGGCCACAAGCCCCTCCCGGTGCCGTCAGCCTGGAACCCAGCTGAGGCCTTGAAGAGTCTGGAACGCAGGTCAGGCCCTGATGGACACAGACCACTCCAGCCTGAGCCCTCCAGGCACGAGTGAAGGGGCCTTGGTACCCCGAGCTGGGGGAAATCATGGGAGTCTTCCGTCAGTCTCAGGACCAGGGCCTGGTCAGGGTGTGCCCCACCTCTGTGCCAGGGTTCAGGGGCCTCCACGCTGGACTTGGTAGGGCAACTTCCCTTGCCTGGACACACCCCCACAGTGTCTTTCCGTCCCAGGGGTGGCTGCTGGCTCACCCACTCAGCAGCAGGAAATGAGGGGGTGGTGGGAGGTCCTCTTGCAGCTGAATCAGCAGCCAGCACCCCATCCCTCCACCATTCCTGCCAAAAGCCCTCTACCTCTTCCCCTAGGCCTCCACCATGAGGCCCTCAGGGTAGCCAGCAGGTGACCTGAAACTCCTGCCTAGAGCTAAATGATGCTTTTGTTTTCAAAAGGGGAGAGGGAGGGGGGGTACCCCCTTCTCTGGCTCTGCCAGTGCAGCTGGGGCTTAGCACAGGGGCTGGCTGCACTGTCACCAGACATGTGTCTTAGCCTCAATGCCTGTGAGATGGGAAGATGCAAGGCTGTAAGGGCACTGGCATGGCAAGCACAGGTTCCAGCCCCAGCTGCTGCACTTGCCATGCAGCTCCCTGACAGTGCACTGGAAGGCAGTGAATGATGGTCCGAGTGCTTGGGTCCCGTGAATGGAGCTCCTGGCTGCTGCATCCATTTGGGGGAGTGAACTAGCAGGTGGAAGACATCGTGTGTTTTGCCCTCAACCCTCTGCCTTTCAAATGAATAACAGTCTTCTTTGAAAGGGAAGCGAGGAGAAAGACAGGAGAGAAGAGAGGGAGGAGAGCTCAGCTGTTTGCCACAGAGACCCAGCAGCAGCAGCACAAGAGAAACAACGTTCCCTGCTACTCAGGCAAGGTGGGGCCTGGGGCTGCTGGGCACACAGGCAGGAAGCCCATAAAGGTAGGTGTCCCCCCACCTCAGATGGTGCTGGGTGAGAGGGCCAGGACCCCTAGTCCCTGCTCAACCCTTCCTGGAGTGTACCCCAAGGTTCCTGCCTGCACAAAGCAGGGGAAGGTAGGGGAAGGCTGAGTGAAGTTCTTTGCACACACATGCGACATATGGGAGCAGACATATAACTGTGCATGCACACACATGACACACATGCAGCATACAAAGGTGCATACCCACTCAAGCACAACTCACAACCACGTGTGCACACATACTTCCTTTGCTTTTCCTCCTTCCACACAGAGCTGGGCCTCCTGGAACAGGGTGTCTGGGGGTCCAGAAGGTTCAGTCCTCGGCCTCTGGTGCTGTTTCCGAGCACTGAGCTCCTGAGGCAGTCTCCCCTGAGCCTCAGGAGGGACCCACACAGGAAGCCCACACAGGGCCACTCAAGGTGTGAGAGGTGCCCGGCAGCCAAGAGCTCTGAAGGACACAAGTGCTACACAGAAGCCTGGGGAGGGGCGTGGGAAGCTGTGTCCCTGAGCCCTGGTCCACCCTGGGTCAGAGGATGCCAACCACAGCCTGGGTCTAGAAGGAACAAAAGCCTCTGGGACTTCCGAAGCACTCTTCCCCTCCTCCACTCAGGGAGGGAGCAGACTGCCTCAGCTGGGAAGGGTGGCTAGCAGGGGTCCTGGGGAGACTGTGTGTGATCCAGCCACCAGCTGTTCCTGGCTGCTGGGTCCCAGAGGACAGGGCCTGGTCCCCTCAGCCACAAGGGCAGGTACACACAGCTGGCCTCAGAAAAAAACAACACAAGCCTTCAGGGATTACCCCTCCCACAAGGCCCTGCCCACACCTCCAGGACGCCACAGGTCACATACCAAGCACTCAGACAACAGAGTGGAGGCGGGGCCTGGGGCACACCTGCTGTGCACAGCTCTATTGGATAGTCCTGGCCATGCCCCTGGGGCTTGCCCTGCCAGCTCCACTTCCAAGTCCTCTTCAGTCATTCCAGGGCACAGCAGCTCTGTGCTGCCCATGCCTGGAACCTCCAGTCCAGTCCAGCCCAGTCTGGTCCCCTGCCCAGCAGAGGGTCCCTCCGCCCAGTCATCCTCCTGGGGGAAGTGCCTGCTGCAGCCCTCGTTACGGCTCCAGCTCCCGTGACAGGCGGGACAGCTCCCGTTGGTTGTCGATGACCTTTAGCTGTTGGACATCCGCCCAGGCGCTGGCTGGATTCCGTGTGTTCAGGGACTGCTCCGAGCCTGGTGGACAAGAGGGGTCAGCAAAGTGCCACGGCACTGCCCCTCTGCTGACACTTGTCACACAGCTCCCCACCCACCGCCTCTGAACTCCCCCTGCCCCACAACAGACAGGCCTAGAGGTTGGCATTGTGGCACAGAGCATTAAGCAGTTACACGCAATGCCGGCATCCCATCTGGGCACCAGTTTAGGTCCTGGCTGCTCCATCTCCGATCCAGCTTCCGGGAGAGGTACATGGGAAGACAGTAGAAGATGGCTCAAGTGCTTGGGTCCCTGCACCCACGTGGGAGGTCAGGATGAAGCTCCTGGCTTCTGGCTTTAGCTTGGCCCAACCGTGGCCATTGTGGTCATTTGGGGAACAAATCCACAGATGACAGCCTCTTTCTTTTTTTCTCCTTCTGTAACTTTGCCTTTCAAGTAAAATAAATAAATCTTAAATTAAAAAAAGAGGCTGGATCTGAAGAAAGCAGATCTCTGGGACTTCAAATATCATCAAACCCCTTACTAGGGCCAGAAATTGCTGAAAAGGAACACAGTTTGTTGTCCTACAACTCTGAATACAGTTGCAGGGTTTTTACAGAGTAGGAGTGTGTATGAGCAATTATTTCGATAAACCAAAAATGAGCCAATCAAAATTCAGGGAGCAGCCCCCTGGGCTAAGAGGAGCAAGTGCAATTACTGCCACCCCTCATGCCTAGGCAGGCGACAGCCGCACAGCTCCAGTGGGACAGTTGCAGACACAGAGGGCAGAGGATGCTAGCAGCCATGTCCTACAGCTCCAGGTCATACAACTCCAGGTCGGGCCGGCCGCAGGTGCCCACACTCAGGCTTGAGCGCACACTACAGCTGCCCCCTAATGCAGCCCCTGTGAGGCAGTAGTGAGTGAGGGCTCAAGTGTGTGGGCTCCTGCACCCATGTGGGTGACCTGGATGGACAGAACTCCTGGCTCCTGGCTCCTACCTGGCCCAGCCTGGCTGGTGTGGGTATTTGGGAGTAAACCTTGCAGACAGAAGATCTCCTTCTCTTTCTTCACATTGTGTGTGTGTGTGTGTGTGTGTATGACTTTAAATAAATGGGTCCATCGTAAAAAACCTAGAGTGGACACTACACTGGACTTAAAACCAGGCGGGCTGGGGATGCTGTGTGGCAGCAGCAGGGGAGCCTACACTGGGCACCAGGCTTGAGCGCCGCCGTGCTGGCTGAGGGCTGGGGAAACAGAGGTGCAGACAGGGCGCGCACATCCAGGTACAGTAGCACCCACTTTACTCACATGTGGAGATCCGCGATGCCTGGCTGTCCTCGTGTATGTGGGCAGCTCGGGTCCTGAGTGGGGAGAGGGGCGCTGGGTGGGTGAGAGGTGGGAGTCAGCGATCAGCTGAGCCAGGGCGTGTGGGGCGGTGCGGGGCTCTGCCCAAAGGGTCCGCCTTCTCACCATGACCGTGGCCTCGGCAGTGGTGCAGCACCCGCACGGCTCGGGCCAACATCCGCTGTGGGCAAGAAGTGAGTGAGCACTGGCCCCGCCCTGCCTGGGGCTGCGGTGATTAGAGGCTCCAAGGGGGGCTAGAAGGAGCACTGAGGCTCTGCAGCCCCCAGGGCAGGGAGGATTCCATGCTCACCATCTTCTCGAAGTTGATGAGGTTCTCCACCAGCGTGCGGTTTCCCTCATGGATAAAGGTCATATCTAAAAGGGGGTCTGCTCTCAGTGCCCCCTCCCTGGCTCCTGCTCCCACATGGGCTGTCGTGACCTCTAGAGCAAGCCAGGCCCCAAGCCCAAACCTCATGAGGCCCTCGCAGTTCTCCTCTGGCCTTGCCTTCTGCACTACTTGCTGGGTGGGTAGCAGGCAGGGGCCAGGGGTGGGGGAGGTGCCCAGCCTTACCTTTGAGAAGGAGGGGCATGAAGGGGATGATTGGAGGGGAGAGCTTGGCGAGAGTCACGCGATAGGCCCTGTGGTTCCAGGACGGGTCCTGTGGGAGAGGGACCACAATGGGGTTCTGCCCTTGACAGGCCCAGGAACACACTTCTCTCAGCCACAAGGATGGCTTCGGGGGCAGCCTGTCCCAAGTCACACCGCTGGGGCTCAGCGCAGGGGGAGGGGCTGATGCCATGGCTTCCTAGTCTCCCACCAGCACCCAGCAAGCCCCACAGTGGGAGGTTACAGGTGAGGGTTCCTGGGAAACCCTTTTATTGCCTCTCCCCAGATCTCTGGGCCTCTGTCTCAGTCCCTCTCTGTACACCCAGGGTGGGCATTGTACCACCACGTGTCCTGTAACACACACTCAGGGTGGGTACTGCACAACCACATGTCCTGTCTACACCCACACACAGCTTAGTGTGTAACATCATGCCCCATCCCAGAGGCCTGTGTCTCGCTCCTCCCAGCCTGGTACACGTGCAGATACCATGGTACCCTACCCCGGGCTATGGGCTAGAGGTGGGCCAACACTCACCAGCAACCTCTCGAGGGCTGAGTACAGCCTCCGAACCTTCTGGGGCAGCCGCTGGAAGACAGTGAAATGGATAGGGGCTGTGGCCTCCAGCAGCTGCCCTGCCCTGTCTCCCTGGGGACCAGGACCTGGTAGGTGACCCTACCTCCCAGGTACGGGCCAGGCGGCTGATGGCCGAGTTGCTGAGACCAAACATGATGGCAAAGAACGAGTTGAGATTCTTCTGCTCCTTCAAGCTGTGAGCAGAGAAGCAAAGAGCTCAGTGTGGTGCCTGAGCCAGATGGGGGCGGGGGGAGCAGCGCCACAACCACAGTCCAGGACTCACTGGGCGGCCAGCTTGATGAACTTCCTGAGCAGCTGGGCCCGTGGGCCAGGCAAGGGGCAGAGGCACAGCTCTGTGGCCACCCAGTACTGCAGCTGGTTGAAGCGGCGCATGAAGCGCTCCAGGTTGGCGGTGGTGACATCACGCAGGTGCTGGGGACCCAGCACGTAGTGGATCAGCTCCACCTAGCAGGGGAAGTGAGGTAAGAGCTGCCTGGGGCAGGCGGTCTGCCCCCTCCCCAATGGTCCCATGGCCCATACCTGGTGGATGCTGTGGAAGAGATCCCTGTCCTGCTCCGTTAGCTGCCCTGCCAGGTCCTTGGCGCTCACCAGCTCCAGTGCCTCAGCTGAGCCCATTGTGGGCCCCAGCTGTTCAGGGTGTGGGGTCTGCAAACGGGAGCACATGTGCGGGTGGCCTGTGTGATTCAGGGCAGAGCCTGGGGACCATGAGGGCATGCTGCAGAGGTACAGGGGCTGTTGGGGTCTTCCTGACAGTGTCCCGAGGTGGAGACCACCACCCCTCCAGGAGTCTGTTCACCCAGGCAATCTGACAGTCCTGGATGCTTCCCCAGTTGGGGCTCCTTGGCAGCCATCCCCATCTCTGTCTGGCCTTACCAACTCATGCACCTGCTGCGGGTTAGCCACAAACAGCCGCTCATTGAGTCCCAGAGATGTGGCCACACCACGGGCTTCTGGCTGCAGGCCCACGGCATCTGCACAGAGAGTGAAGGCTGCACTGGGCGGTCAGGGGCCCAGCCACACATCACCCAGGCAGGAAGGGGGATCTCAGCAGCAGGGAGACCTTGTCCCTCCAAGCATCAGTGTTCACAGGGTGGTGCCAGAAGACGCACCTGAGCATACACATGTGCTGTGTTTCTGAGTCCCTGACACACATGGGAAGGCCTGAGGACATCTCAGTGTTGCTGTCCATCAACCCTGCCCCTCTGCACTGCCATGGACGGGACTGTGTTCCCAGGCCAGAGTCAAAGAAAGTAAACTGCTTTGCATTTTTGTCATGTATACAGCCTGACACTGGTGTCACAGCAGTGTAGCAACATGTGTATAAGAGCTAAAAATACCCATGCTCATGGGACTGCAGTAAAACATAGGCTCCTGAGAGCTGCCCATCATTGTGGTCTGAGGTAGGCACCTCTGAAAACCTCCATGAAACCATCCTGGGCAACCGCAACTCACCAGGCGGCCACCAGGGGGCAAATGCTTCCAGGGGTGGGGCACAGGTGGCTTCTATGCCCCACCCCCTGTAGCTCTGGCCAGACTGCCAGACAAAACTGGGCTCTGTCCAGGTGGCAACGTCCCTCGTACAGCCACAGCACGCCCCGGCTTTGCTCAAGGCCTGTGTGCCGAGTCTTTGGCTCACTGTCCTGCCCAGCAGCCAGAGCAGCTCCTTCTCTAGCCCCCCGACATTCAGCAGGTCGCAGAAGTGCCTGCTGCATGCCCAAGTGAGCAGCGACTCAACCACATGAGGCATGCACAGACATCCTGGCTGCCTATCCACAAACCTCTTAGCAGTCTCCACAGTCAAAGGGTTGCTGTGCCTCTGCTGGGGGTGTGTGACCCGCAGGCTGTACCCCCTCCAGAAGTGATGCAGACCCAGGGTGACTCCTCCCCAGGATCCACCCCCACAGCTCACCGCCTGCAGAGTTGACCTTCACCAGCACCTGACCACTGGTTCTGCCATCTGCCTGAGCCAGGGCTGCCAGCACCTCCCGCACCGAGGCCGTCACGGGCAGCTGCAGGGTCAGCCCCGAATGGTCGGGCCGGTAGACGTCATAGGACACTGCAGAGGAGGACGACAGTGAGCTAGAGGCGCTGCCTGGTCTCCCCACCCGGGAGGAGTGCACAGGGGTCCCCAGTCTGCAAGGGGCCTGCTTGGCCAGCCACTCACCTTTGTCCCCGGCTCGGATGGCACAGTTGCTGCTGGGCAGGGGTTCTTCGTGGCTGGGGAACCAAACAGGTGCATTCCGGGCCTGAGGGGAAAAGGAAGCAAGGCTGGGCAGATGGCAGCCTAGGGAAAGGGCTGACACCCCCTGTGTACCCAAGTCCCCCTCCCGCATGCTAGCTCTGCTCTGTGGCCTGGTAAGAAGTCCCCTCTGCTGCTCCTTGCTGGCAGCTATGCTTCTGTCCCAGGGTTCCCCTGCTCTGCTCCCTTCTCACTGGTCAAAACATCTACCTGTGAGCCTCTACTCCCCCCCAGTCCGAATTGGTCAAGGCTGCACCTTGAAGATGTACAAGAAGCCAGTGGGAGCAGGGGACCCGCAGAGGGGCCCACGGCTTGGGGCTGAGACTAGATGAAGAATCTAGTCAGGCCAAGCCTCTGAAGGAGGGTCCGGGCTGAGTCAAATGCTTAAGCATGTGTGGTGCACAGCCAGGCCCCCAGCAGAGCCCATGCCAGTCCCAGCTGGTACCTTCAACTGAGGAGAGGCATTCCCACAGCCATTCTCCAGCCTGGGGAGCGGGAGAGGGGACGTCAAGAGGAAGCTGGCTCCCAGCAGCAGCAAGTCTGGGGGTCCCAGCCCCCACTCTGCCCACTTTCCTGAGCCCAGGACAGACGAGAGACCAGACACAGCAGGGGAGGGGAGGGTGGGGCTGGTTTAGGTAGGTTCTGGACCCTTGACCCCATGCCTAGCCTCAGTGGGAATGTCTGAGAAGGCAGTAATGACCTCAGTGACTCATCGGATGGGGCTGGCATGCCCTGGCACCAAGAGCTTCCAGCAATAAATGTGCTAGATGGTGGACATGAGGACAGCAGAGGCGTCCAGGGACATGGACAAGAGGCATGGGTTGGGAGGGTTTGGCCAGGACTCAGCTGGTCCCGGTGCTATGGGCCAGGGTGAGTCAAGCGTCACCTGTGCAGTCGCCTCCTCTCTGGCCACTGTCCTTTTAGCAGGCCACTCAGCTGGACATCCCCACTCACTAGCTTGGAGAAACCCTGTGAAGAGCAGAGGTGTTGAGCTGGCTGCAGTCCCGGGGGCCCAGCTGCACCCCTCACGCCCAGGCACCTGGAGGAAGCTGGAGGCCACAGGGTCTGCATGCAGCATGGGGCCATACAGGGCCACCCACTGGTTGACCAGCCGCACGATCTGCTGCCTCTTGTTGCACACATATGAACTGTGCTCTCGTTCACTGCCACCCGCAGGCTGCGCGTGGAAGGTGGCGTCGGTCAAGGAATAAGACACACAGCAGAGGGCCCAGGGCACGGCACAGCTAGGGAAGCAGGCAGCTCTCTCTCACACTAACACACTCTCACAATCTCTCTCACACACCATCTCTCATAGTCTCTCACACATTCTGTCACACAGCTTCCTCAGATTCTCACTTCCTTTTCACATACAATGTCACACACACTCACATTTGCAGTCTCTCTCACACTCACACATTCACACAATCTGACACTCACACGCTCTTACACATTCTGTCACACAGCTTCCTGGGATTCTCACTTCCTTTTCACATACATTCTGTCACATGCTCTCTCACACTCTGTCTCTCTCACACTCACACGTTCTGTCACACTCTCATAGCCTCTCACACTCGCAGTCTCTCACACTCAGTCTCTCTCACACACTCTCACAGTAGTTTTTCATTCAGTCTCTCCCATTCTGTCACTCTCATAGCCTCTCCCACCCACATTCTGTCACACAGTCTCCCCCTTTCTGTCACACTCTCATAGTCTCTCACACTCAGTCTCTCTCACACTAGTTTTTCACTCACAGTCTCCCATTCTGTCACAGCTCTCGGCCTCTCAATGCATTCTTTCTCATACACATTCTGCCACACACTCGCATACTCTCAACACACTCGTTTTCTCACACAAGTCATACACAGTTAACAGTTTCCTACAGACACTCAGAAGTCTCACATAGTCTCTCTGTCACACACTCACGGGGTGCCCCATGCCCCCTTCACAGGTAGGAAGGATATTGGTGCAATAGTGCAGGGCAGAGCTGTGCACTGGGCATGAAAACGCTGTGGGTCAGCAGGAAGTCACTGAGGAAGGTCTCTGGGGAGGGGGTGGGAGGCTTCAGAGGTCAGTGCTGTGAGCAGGGCGACCCTCCCCAAGACCCAGCTGAGGTCCTGACCCCTACACTGTGCTGAATACGCAGTGCCACTGCCGCCCCTACCTGTGGGGTCATGGGAGCTGGAATCGGGCCGCATGGCCTCCAGCAGGAGCTCCAGGATCTTTTCTGGGGTGCCAGACATCACTGTGTACCTGGGGCAAAGGTGGGCTCTGAACTGACTGTGCCCACCCCCACTCCCCAGCAGACACCAGTTGTCAATCATGCCACTCCCCCTCCGCCAAGTTTACCAGCCTGGTCCACCAACCCTGCCCAGGGTAGCCTGAGGCTGACCCAGGGGTGGGGAATTGCCTCGTACCGCGTCCTGCCTGGCGTCGGGGGACAGGCAGGGCTGGCACCCTGGGAGGCCCTCTCTAACACCAGCACCACCTTGCCATGCTCTTCCAGCCTCATGGTCTTGGCTTCCACGTCCTGGGGGACAGACGCACTTTGAGCCCCAGCTGCCCTGGCTGGCCAGAGCCTCCCTGAGCTCTTCCCTCCCATCCAAGCCGCACCCAAACAACCTGCCCCGGTCCCCCCACTCCAGGTGCAGTTCCCGCTCCAGCCCCCACGGCTCCTCGGATCCCCAATGAGGCACCTTGATGATACGGTTAAAGTCCTGCTTATCCACACGCAGGAAGTGACAACTGTCCTCTCGCAAAATGATGGTGGCTGCCCGAGGTGCATCATTCACCAAGGCCAACTGCCCAAAGTCATCTCCCTCATGCAGGGTTGTCACCAGTCCCTGCAGTAGGGACCCAGTTACAGCCTGCCCTCCAGGTGACAGGGGAGGTGGGGGAAGGGGCTGGGGGCTCACCTTGCCGTGAGTGACCACGTTGACAGACCCCTTCCAGATAATGTACCACGATGTGCCCTTGTCGCCCTGGCTGAACACTGAGCGAGGCAGGAGTCAGACACGGCACCCCCCAACACACCTTGCTCGGGGCCCCAGGGCTCAGTCCCACTTACACACAGTCCCGGCCTTGCTGTGAGGCTCAAAGAGCAGAACTGCTGCCAGCTCCCGCTTCACCTGCAGCCAAAGAAGGCAGTGAGCATTGATCGGGGCGGGGGAATGTGAGGGGGTGCTGCTGATCCCAGAGTGCAGCAGCAGGAGGCAGTTGAGAGGATGTATGGAGGGCAGGCAGGTGGGACTGACCGAGTTGGACAGGTGCGCCACAGCCTTGATATGCAGCAGCTCCTCGAAGATGAGTTCTAGCTCCTCATGTGTGCGCTGATTGGGGCTGTGGCACAGCACAGGAAGCCAGCGTTAAAGTGCGGGCTGGGGAGGAATGCAGGCAGGCCCAGGGCCAGCCGGCGCCTCCGCTGACCTTTATGGAGAGTGGCAGGTGCTGGACACCAGGCCAGGTGCTTGCATGTATCACCTCCCACACACGGCCCTCACAGCAGCCTGGTGAAGCGAGCACCGCTGTCCCCGCCCACTCTACAGAGGTGGAACCTGGCCTAGCTGGAACTAGAACCCAGACCTGCCCAGGGTTTCAAAGCCCACCCCCTCAGGTTGTGCCTGCCCACCGAGGCCCAGGATCTGGCCTGCAGCTCCACTCAGCTCATCCCGCTGGCTAGCAAGGTGGACTCCCAGACTCACGGCTTGCGAAGGGCCATGGTGAGCAAAGCGTCAGGCCCTCGCTGTGCCAGCAGAGCCATGGCCTCCACCAGCTCCTCCTCTGCCTCGGGGCTCCCTGTGGGCTCCGGCTCCAGCCAGGGAAACCGGTAGAATTGGGCATCACGGTCCTGGAAGGCCCAGTCGTGTTTCACTATGGACAGAGAGGTGGAGGGGAAGAAATTGAGGCTGTGTGGGTCTGGGTCCCCAGTGCAAAGCCAGCCCCTGCCGTGGGGCTCACCATGGTACAAGGCACCTTCATCCAGGAGCACCTGGCAGATACCCACGGCCTGGCTACGCGAGTGCACTGCCAGCCCCAGCGTCAGGATCCCATCCACCAGCTCCCGGCCAGAGCAGCACTGCCTGGAGGACAAAGCCATTGAGAGGGGCAGTGGCCAGCCCATGCCCAGGTCCTCCTGTGGGCAGTGGGAGGAGCCCTCTCACCGATAGAGCCTCAGGTGATGCTTCCGGTCGCGGATGAGGCCTGGACAGGCAGCCAGGAGGTGCCGGTACAGCTGCTTCCCAGCCCTGAGCACACGCTCCGTGGAGGCCTTGGGGAGGGCACAGTGGGCTTAGGCCCAGGCCTCCCCACGGCCCCGTGCCCTCCAACCACATCCTACCTGCTCCAGGCTCCCGCTGAAATCCAGAGACTCCTGGCTGGCAGTGAGCGGCGTCTGAGGGCAATGGACAGTCCGGTCATTATGCAGCCTCAGCCCCCTGCTATGCCATCCCCTGGGTGGCCACCTGGTACCGCCTCCCTAGACCTCAGAGCCCTGCCCCCACAGGGAGCCCTTGAGGGCACCGTGCTGCCAGCCCAAGAGCTCACAGGAGCCATGAGGAGCAGCAGCAGAAGCTGGAGACCAGCTCCAGGCCTGGGGCTTCAGGCACAATCGCAACAGTGCACAGGTGCCTCAACTTCCCTCTTCCTTGGCTTCTGCACCTGCATAACATGCAAGAGACCCAGGGGCTGACGTGTGGGCTTTGGGAGTGCAGGGTGACTGGACCCAGGAGGGGCTTGCCAAAAAAGGGAGAATCGGCCCCTCCCCCAGCGTCCCTTCGGTGGGAGTCCCAGAGCCATTGGAACCCCTCCTTCTTTGCCTGCCACAGTCAGAGCACATCATAAACACCATTGTCATGATGACAGATCACACATGAGCCAGGCACAGTCATGACTGTCCCTTACTGAGGCTCATAGTAAGCATAGGGGAGGTGCCCTAGAGACTGAGCCCCTGGGGACAATTCCTACCAGTGTCCACTGCACTTGCCCCTTCTCCTTCCACCCAGCTTGCTGCCACCAGCTCTCCCTTCCCACCCGCTACCTGAAACGCCTGGGAGGACTCTGATTCCAAACATAAACCCACTGACTGCCTGGGCTGGCGCGCACGGGCGCCTGGCCCGAGGCTGGACGGAAGTTACTAGGTGTCCCCAGGGTATTCCTGCTGGGGTCACTGGGCCCAGCCTAGTGCCAGACACAAAGCCCTGGAGACTCAGGGACAGGAAACGAGGAGGAGGAGGAGCCAGGGGAAGGAGGAAAGGCAGGAATGCTGCCCAGCCTGTGCCCCAGAGCTAATGACTCCTTGCTGCCCGGGTCGAAATGTCCAGGTACCCACAGTGCACTGCTCCCTTACACAGGACCCTGGAAAGCAAGTTCTGGCTGATGCTATGTTGCACCGGCCCTGGGCAGAGGAAGACAGGACGGTGGGGCCACGCCATCCCGCCCCTCTGCTGCCTGTGGGCCCGTCTCTTCCCTCTACACAGCAAAGGGACAGTGGCCTCAGGTGTGTTCTGGGGGCACACATCCGTGGCCAGCAGCAAGTCATGGCACATTAGGTCTGTAAAACTGTAGAACCTTCTAGGTTGGGGTAGGTCTGCAGAGAGCAGTGAGCTCCAGGGCCAGATCCTGTCCCTCACGTTCCTACCTGGCTGTGACCTGTGTTGCTTTAGCCCTCTGTGCTTCAGTGTTAGTGACCTGTGCGTGGGGCCCACCCCATGGGAGATGACAAGGATCCAGTGTGGCCAGGACACGCATAGTGACCGCTTGGAGGACGTCCATGACCTTAGCCCACCTGTGGAACCCCTGAGGAGCACCTATGCCCCCTGCACCACCCACGGATGGAGCTGACGGCCTCCCTGTTGGTTCAGCATCCTAGTGTCAACAACTCAGCTGGGGAAGCTGCAGGAAGCTCCCTGCTCACCTGCCCCTCAGCTGGTACAAGGAGCAGATGCCAGCCAGCCTCTCCTCCCTCGCCCCCATGCCCTGTTGTGCATCCTCACAGCCACGTGGTGTGGGGACCCTGCAAACCAGCTGTCTGGGGTCGAGCTCAGACACCAGGTGGGGCTGTGTGGGGAAGGATGGGGGATGGATAAAGGCCAGGGTGCCCTGGGTGAGCACACTATGTTGGCTATGACCACCCAGGCCTGGGGCCCAACTTTGCAGCACAAACCTGTCACATTTCCCTGTACCTCCACTTTCCCATCTGTCAAATGGGAACAGTGACAGCTACACACTCACAGGTGTAGGGTGCTGAGTGGAGCCAGCAGGTTGCCAAATGGGGCCACTCCTCCCGTGTCCTGCAGAGAGCATCCAGGTCCTCCACAAGGTCTCCCTGACCCTGCCCTGCCTGCCACCCATTCCTGTCCCATTTACCTCTGCCTTTGCCACACTGGGCACATTCCCTCCAGTAGAATCCTTTCCCTATGCAGCTGCCTGCTGGCCTCTCTGAGCTCTTGCGGGCACAGCCAGAGCCCTCCCAGCACTGGACACTGCTGGCCAAATGCTACCTCTTGGGGCCCCACATGGCACTCAGAGGTGAGGGGGCAGGTGCTGGGGACTCCCCAGTCCAGCCTTTGTTCAGGGACCTTCTGGACACACTGCAGCTACCTGTTTCTGGCCCTGAGCGTCTAGGCTCCCAGCAACACCCCTTCCTTGCTCCTGGCAGCTCAGCAGCCCTCACTCCCACTCTTCCCACTTCCCCACACAGGCAGGCACCCTTCAGCTGCAAGGGCCACCGGCAGCCAGGAGACAGCCTGGCGGCCTCCTCCAGCCCCTCCCAGACGCTGGGCCCCAGGAGGCTTGCCTGTGACCTCACAGTCCCCAGCACCTGACCTCCCCCCACCCTGCCTTGCCTCCACAGCTGGAAAGGGGACAGGAGATGCACTAGTAATTATAGCTTGAGAAGGAAGCAGGCAGGCCTGGCTCCAGCCCAGTGGCTCCCAGTTTTACAGGGCGAGGGGGCCCGGGACCCTTCATGCTGCTCAATTTTCCTGCAACTTCCTAGTGTGTGTTGTGGGGGGTGCTCTACTCAGAAGGGGATCCCGTGCCATGTTGGTGGGCCAGCTCTCTCTATCCCCTGGTTTGCCTTGCAAGACCCACCACAGGGCCCCTCAGCCTGCCACAGCCACCGCCTTCTTTTCCCTCTGGCCGGCTCCTTCCTTCCTGAAGCTTCAGGGAACTTTTCCACTGGCAAACCCTGGCAGGTTTCACACAGCTCAGAATCGACACCAGCCCCTAAAGCTAGGACCCCCGCAGGACTCCTTATCCCATGCCAACGATGGGAGTCCTGGTGCTGAGCCAAGCTCACCCACCCTCACCTGGCCCTGCCCACGCCTGAGTGGACATGGCCCTGTGGGCATGTGCACTCGGCCGGCCGGTCGCAGTCCCTGCTCCCCGCCAGCAGGTTAGACACCACTCGCACTCGCTCACCCAGCGAAGCCCCTGCACACGGCCGGGGCGTCCGTGCGGCGGCAGCAGCAGCTGGTAGGAGCAGCTCCGGGGTCGGCGCATCCTCCGCACCGCGACGAGCAGCGGAGCCTCCGGCTGAAGGTCAGCGAGGCCACCCACCTGCGCTGCGGGCCCGGGTCACCTGCCAGAGGCGCGCGCCTGGTCAGCCCTCCTGGGATGCGGGCAGCACCTTAAACAGCCGCGCGGGCAGGGGCAGCGGGACCGCGGCGGCCTTCCCGCCTGGCCGAGCCGCCTCCTGCACGCGCTGGGCGGGTCTGGAGGAGGCACCTCCCCTGCACGCAAGGGGTGCGGGACGGCTCCCCGAGTCTCTGCAGCCGCCACTGCACCGCAGGTCTCTCAGGCTCAGGACTGCTGGACACCCGAGGCCCGGCAGCCCCGGCTGCGTCCCGCATCGGGCAGTGGGCGTCCGCCGCGCCCGCCCCTTGACCCTACTCCCTGTACCCCTGCCACCTCTCCCGACCCTCGAACACGCTGTGGCAGCCGGGCGGGGGTCCTACGGGCGAGGCGGGGCCGTGACGGACCAGGGCAGAACTCCGAGTCTGGGCACCCCGCCCAAGTGGGAGGGGGCGCGAGAGGGGGCGGCCGGGCGGGGTGGGAGTGGGGGTGCTGGCCCGGCCGCCACGTGGCCCGGAGGAGAAACGCAAACAAGGAAACGGGGCGGGGGTGAGTCACGGTGGCCCCACCCGGGGGAAATCCGGGCCGGGGCCGCTTCCCGGCTGCGGGTCCCCAGTGCCGGGGCGGGCCCAATGCTTCCCGTTCACAGCGGGGAAGTCAAGGCAGGGGGGGCGGGTGCAGCCGCGGTGGGGCGCGGGGAGGGCTTGGAACTGTAGCCTCCACCGTGGCAAGTACCTGCCCGGTCCCGGAAGGAGCTGGGCCCACAGCTGCCCTGCTTGCTGAGCAGCTGTTGGAATCCAACTCTGATGCGGACCATCCCTTGCTAGCGCAGGTGCAGGCCCTGTCCCCCACGTCCCCTTGCAGTCCTGGAGGTGGCCAGGGTGGGCAAGCACCTGGCAGAGGAGCAAGATCCAAACCCACGGCCAGTTCCGGGATTGGAGGGTGTGTGGACTCTATGAGAGGAGGAACAGAGGCTGCTGGGATAGCCGCCTGGGCAGAAAGAGTGTGGGTGCCTGGCCATGGAGAGCAGAGGCCCCTGTCTTGGTACCCCAGCACCTGCTCACCGAGGCTGGGACAGCTGAGCATGCAGCTGCCATGTTCTGCCACTGTGCTTGGAGCCATCCACATGTTCCATGCTTGTTGCAGTCTGAGGAAGCAGATACTGATGTCATCCACCTTACCGGTGAATACCTGAGGCTAATCACCTCCCAGCAGATGGGGGAAGAGGGCTGGGACTCAGCTGGGGCTGCCTGCTCCAAGTGGCCCTAGACTTCTGATCTGGACTGAAGGGGATGGGGATGCAATCCTTCAGATCCACAAATTGTGCCATGCCCATGACCCAGCCACCCAAATGCCCTCCCTGTCATTCCTACCCACCTCTCCAGCCCCTTCTCAGGGGGCCAGGGAAGGCTTGATGGGGACGGAGTAGAGGCCTGGGGTATGGTGTTCAAGGATGACATCCAGGCCAGATGGACACATCCCAGAGGTATGAAGACACTGCGTCCTGGTCTCAGAGGTCTGCCGGGTGCCAGGACAGGTAAACAAGGAACTGATGGGCATTTGCAGGTGTAAATCCTCGCAGCAGTCCTGGTGGCAGGCCCCATGGTGGTCAAGTATACCCCAGGGCCCAAGAGTAGGAGGAACAGAACCTGAGCCCTGCTCCTGAGTCTGTATGTCCAGACTGTGCAGCTCCTGTGCAGGGGCACAGACCACACCAGTGTCTTCCCTCACCCTTAGTACACCACCCAAGTCAGTTAGAAAGCACCTGAGGCAGTCTGTTCCTGCTCCAGTGTGCCCACCTGTGATGTTCCCTACACACCTTTATACCCTCAACAGTACCTGTTGCACAAGAGGGTGGGTGTTAGAGTGGAGGTACAGGGACACAACTGAGATCAAACAGAAGGGGGTATGGTCTGTGCCCGCAATAGTCTCATGTGGAATATCACAACTCATACTTGCCCCAGGATCTACACCACACAGCAAGTACATCTGAGCCCACACCTGCCCTGTGCCTACCACACAGGGAGTACACCTGAGCCCACACCTGCCCTGTGCCCACCACACAGGGAGTACACTTGAGCCCACACCTGCCCTGTGTGCCCACCACACAGCGAGTACGCCTGAGCCCACACCTGCCCTGTGCCCACCACACAGCGAGTACACTTGAGCCCACACCTGCCCTGTGTGCCCACCACACAGCGAGTACACCTGAGTACACACCTGCCCTGTGTGTGCATCACACAAGTACCCCTGAGTTCACACCTGCCCTGTGCCCACCACACAGGGAGTACACTTGAGCCCACACCTGCCCTGTGTGCCCACCACACAGCGAGTACACTTGAGCCCACACCTGCCCTGTGTGCCCACCACACAGCGAGTACGCCTGAGCCCACACCTGCCCTGTGCGCCCACCACACAGCGAGTACGCCTGAGCCCACACCTGCCCTGTGCGCCCACCACACAGCGAGTACGCCTGAGCCCACACCTGCCCTGTGCCCACCACACAGCGAGTACATCTGAGCCCACACCTGCCCTGTGTGTGCATCACACAAGTACACCTGAGTTCACACCTGTCCTGTGTGCCCACCACACAGCAAGTACACCTGAGTACACACCTGCCCTGTGTGTACATCACACAAGTACCCCTGAGTTCACACCTGCTTACACTGGGGAATACAGCTGCCTACCTGTGTCCATACTCTCAGGGCTTGTTGTTGGTCCTGTTTGTGTTCTTCAGTTTCTAATCCTTTCTTCTTTTTGCCGCCCCTGTCTCCTACCCTGCCCTGTCGGTTCCTTTGTTCTCCACATCCCTTGGTGTCTGTCTGTTGGAGTTGAGAAGAGAGTGGAGGAGAGATCTGAAGTTGAAGCCCTAGGCAATCACACAAGGGGGCTTCCCTGGGAACCCTGAAATCTGGCAGAAACATGAGGGAGGTCCGGTCCCAGGGCCTCAGGGCCTGATGGACAGCAGCCGGAGGCAGAGTTGCAGGCTCTGGGGCCCTTGTCTGGACACTGCTCAGCTGGGTGCTGATTGGCCGTGCCTGCTGTGAGGCTGCTCTCCGGTATGAGTTCCAGTTCAGTTCCCCCCATCCCCGCCCTACCCTTTCCTGGGGCTGGGGGGCAGAGGAGGGGAACTGGAATGTCCTTGGGCATGGCCAGCCTTCCCTGGGACATACAGGCCCTAGCCACTCATGGCAGCACTGTGAGGCCCCAGCTGGGTGTGGGCGGCAGGGATGAGGACACAGCTCAGGGCACTCTGGGCTGTGTGCAGCCAAGGAGGCCGGCCTTCAGTGAGCTGTAGGGACACTCAGTTCTGCTTCCACTGCCGCCTCTGGCACCCAGGAAGCCCCAGGGCCACGTGACCCTTATCCTGGCCCACACCCCAGCCTGCCCCGCTGTGCTCCCCTTCCTCAGCCATACCTATGGCTCTGCCCTGGCCCATTCTATACTCACCTAGCCCTCTACTCTCCTTCCCACACTGGTAGAGTCCTGCCATCATTGGACCCCAGGCCTATCCTGCCCAGGGTCTCTCTGGCTGGACCCAGATCGGTGGCTGGGGCAGGGGTAGGTACTGGGCAAGCAGGCCTGGCCTCACAGCAAACCCCAGCCCCACTTGGGAAGACCTGGGGCCATAGCGAAAGTTGACTGCTTTCCTGGAGCTAACCCTTCTGCTCATTTCCTCCCTCCACACAGGACCTTGGGAGGGCACAGAGACCATGACGGCCAGGGCTGGCCCAGCTCCTCCTGCCAGCTTCTGATCTCCAATCCCCTGCTGCCCCTGCCGCTTCTACCTGGATGCACCTCAGGCTGGGAGGAGAGCGCCCTCTGGGGGTGGAAGTATCCAACCCTGGGAAATGCACCCCCAGGGCTGCCTGTGTTTGCCCTCCCCAGCAGGCCTGGCCAGGGAAGGGCACCGAGCCCACCAGGTACAGTCGGGATCCAGGAAGCCGCTGTGTACACATACCCCGGAGGTCAGCTGCAGCACAGCTGGAGGAGGCTGCCCCTGGAGCTGGCTGAGTACCTGTGTGAAGTTCTGCCCCAAGCCCTGGGACCGCAGCAGCCACCCCCACTCCCTCTCACCTGCCAGCACTTGGTGTTGTGAAGGGTGAACACGCAGATGCTCCAGCAAATCAGCCTCAGGGGGTGGCAGGTGCCACAGGGCAGACCGGTGATGGGGAGGGGTTGAGGCACAAGGTGGAGCTGAAGCCTGTACCTGGTGCAGTGTTCCCAAGAGACTGTTCCTGAGGCTTGGCACCGTGGCCTAGCAGCTAAAGTCCTTTCTTTGCACCTTTCTTTATGGATACCATATGGGTGCTGGTTCTAATCCCAGCAGCCTCGCTTCCTATCCAGCTCCCTGCCTGTGACCTGGGAAAGCACTAGAGGACGACCCAAAGCCTTGGGTCCCTGAACCCATGTGGGAGACCGAGAAGAGGATCCTGGCTCCTGGCTTCAGATTGGCTCAGCTCCAGCCATTGTGGCCGCTTGGGGAGTGAATCAACGGACAGAAGATCTTTCTCTCTGTCTCTCCTCCTCTCTGTATATCTGATTTTGTAATAAAAATAAATAAATATTTTAAAAATAAGTAAATCTTAAAAAAAAAAGAGAGAGAGACCGACCCCTCCTGGGTGGGGGCAGGAGGTGGTTGGTGGCCTTGAACAGTTTGGCTAGAAGCTTCAAGAAGCTGTGGAGGGACTGAGAGGTCTCTGAGTCCTGACTGCTGTATTGGGGTCACAGTGCTGGGACCTGTACCCTGTGTGGCAGCTAAAGCCATTGCTTCCAAGTCCTGGATTTTCCACTACTGATCAGCTCCCCACAAATGGCCTGCATGGCCCAAGTGCTTGGGTTCCTGCCAGCCTGCCAGCTCCTGGCTTCAGCCCAGTCTGCCTCAGCCGTTGCAAACATTTGGGGAGTATACCAGCAGATGGAAGATATCTATTTTTCTAACTGCCTTTCAAATAAATAAAATACGGGTGCAGGGTCCCAAGGCTTTTTTGGGCTGTCCTCAATTGCTTTCCCAGGCCACAAGCAGGGAGCTGGATGGGAAGTGGAGCTGCTGGGATTAGAACCGGCACTCATATGGGATCCCGGCATTTTCAAGGCGAGGACTTTAGCCGCTAGGCCACCGGGCCGGGCCCAATGAAATACATCTTTAATTTTTAAAAGGAAAAGAAAGAAATGGAGAGCTCCCTCCAGCTTCTTTGTGGAAATGGGGTTGGGGAAAGCAGTGTTCAGGAGCAGGGGCTGTGGGCAGTGGGGGTGGCTGCGGGCTGAGGGAGGACAGGGCAGACCCTCCCATCCCAGGGCTGTTGAATTGAAGGAAGGCCTGAGGGAAGAAGCCAGCTGGAGCCGGGTGCCCCTGTGAGCAAGGGGCTGTCACTGGGCTCAGGAGTGAGTGGGGGGCCACGGCAGACGGGAAGCTACTGGCGCACAGGGAGCTCGGGGTGACTCCTGTGGGAGTTTGAAGGCAGTGTCCCAGGAGTGAGGCCCAGCCCGAGGGCACCTGCCTGCCCAGCCCGTGTGGAGGGGCCCTGGGTCGGGGAGCCTTGGTGGCCAGCCCAGGCAGAACAGAGTGCCTGTCTGGAGGCGGTGGCCAGGGGGACTGCGGCCTGACGCCACACACCGCCCCTGGGAGGGAGGCCTCGTGCAGGCCCAGCGAGGCCAGGCTTTGCTGAGAGAACCTGTGGTTCTCCCTCGCTCTCTTTGCCAATGAAAGCAGATAAACAGCTTCTACCGGGGCCTGCAGTTGCACAGAAGTCTTTTTGCGGCTCATTTTGAAAGTCACGGTGGGTGTTGCCTAACATGCACTCGCCAAGGCCGAGTCACCCAGACACCGAGTGAGCCCGGGCGCCCAGAAAACCTCGCTCCGCCAAGCTGGGGCGCCGCGTTCCGCCGAGCGCCTGCAGGGGGAGCGACGAGGGGCGGGGCCGACCGGCGCCTGACGTCAGCGGGGCGGGGCTTCAGAGGGGCGGGGTCGCGGCGGGCGGCTCGGAGGGGGCGGGGCCGTCGCGCTCGGCCGGGCCTGCACCTGCGCCCGCCGCGCTCGCCGCCGCTCGCAGCCTGGCAGTCCATGGCCCCGACGCGGCTGCAGCTGGGCCTTCGCGCCGCCTACGCCGGCTTCAGCTCGGTGGCCGGCTTCTCCATCTTCGTCGTCTGGACCGTGGTCTACAGGCAGCCGGGGACCGCGGCCATGGGGGGACTTGCAGGTACTTCGGGGCGCCAGGGGCGCCGGGCTGGCTCCGTCTGCAGTCCCGGCGCGGGGTGGGTGTTTTGCCCGGCCTGGCCGGTTGACAGCGAAGGATCCGTGCGGCCGCGGCCTGCTGGGGCTCGCCCGGCTGCACCTCGGGTCCCGGGCGTTCTCAGGCCGCCTCTCCTCTCCGCGGGGCGCCCCCTCCACCGACAGGGCACAGACCCCGGTTTTTTTGGGGGAGCGTCGGGGGGCCCTGGGGAGCCCCGCGCGGAGTGGAGCTCTCCGTGTCCCGCGATCGCAGCGCGCGTGCCTGCACGGAGCCCTGCAGCGGCACCTGGGCGAGTCCCCCCAGGTGGGTGTCGTCAGCGTGTCCACCTTGCAGACTGGAGGCTGAGGCTCCGAGTCCGAGCCAGGTGGAGTGATGCATGCTTGGGGATGTCGCTGAAGAGCGCTGTTGGGGAGGGGGCTCCGAAAAGGAGTCGCTAAGCCCCATTTGCTGGGCGCCCTCCCGAGGGGGGTCCTGCCAGGGGAAAGCCCAGAGCTTTCCCCTGTCTCTTAGGCAGCCGGCCAGCCTGTTGACTGTCCTCATCTGGCCTCCACCCCGCCGTCTGGACCTGAGAGATAGGCGGGGTGAGCCGTCCCTGGGTCGAGGTGGTGGAGGGAGGAGGGGATGACTGGAGTCCCCAGTTCTGTGAGTCTCAGTCCCCTCCTCTGGGTAAACAGGGTATGTGGGGGACCACTGGTGGAGGTGTGGGCCCCCAGCAGCCCAGCTGGGCAGTATCTCCAAAGAGACTTGGGGTGGAGCTGTAGGGGAAGGGCCACAGGTCAGCCAGGGTCCCCCCTCCCCACCCCAGGGGTCTGCAGTGGGCTTCCCCTTTTGAGATGCAGACTCAGCAGCTCTGGGCTTGTGAGCAGTGCCCTATGACAGGCACGTCCTGCAGAAGCTGCTGAGTCACGGTTGTGTCAGGTGTCCTGGGGTGGGGGGCAGAGTGCTGGTGGCTGGGGACCCAGTCCCCCCTGCCAGCCACACACACCGTGGGGAGCTAGGGGAAGGGCTGTGCAGGGTGGCAGGTAGCACACGTGGCCTGTTGCTCTGGGCAAGGAAAAGAATAATAGTAAAGTTAATCAGTATCTCCTGGGGGACCTGGGCCTCTCCTTCCCTAGCTTTTGTGGCTCCCCCACCTCCCATCATCTCTTCCTTGGTCAGGGTAGGGGCACTGTGACACCCTCCCTGCACTCAGCCCCCCACCCCTGGGGTCCTTGGCTTTCCAGCTGGGAGCCCAGAGCCAGTGGTTGGAGGGGGGCCCAGACCAGCACCTGGCTCCGCCCCTGGAGTTGTGCGGACAGGTGTCCTAGTTAAATGGGCAGTCCCTGCACCTCCCTCCCTGGGAGAGTTGTGGAGGAAGAGAGTGTCTGGGAAGGGGCTGGGCAAGGCAGGGTACCCAGGTGACTTCCCTGGACTGCCATCAGGCCATCATGGCCTTGTCCCAGGTCTGCTGCCCTGTGGGGATCAGGTTGGGGCAGCCCTTGGGCCCTGGCCTTTGCGGGGTAGAAACTGCTGAGTCATGGAGGCTGCCTCTGACCTGCCCAGCTGACTTGCAGACTGCGAAGGGGGAAGTATCTCAGGGCCCCTCCAGGCCAGCCCCTGTTGTGGAGACGGGAGAGGAAAAAGGATGGCCATAGACAGTGCCTACAGAGGTACTCGTGGCACTAAGCCTTGTGCCCAGGGCCCTGGGGTGCTGGGAGAGGACAGGGGTGGTGACCACAGGGGCGCCAGGAGCCCAGCTGCTGCCTTCTCTATGGTTGCTGAGTAGGAAATGCCTGTTCGACACTCCTGGCTCCAGGTCAGGGAACCCCGGTCCAGTCCCCCAATCCCAGGGAAGCTTTGGGGTGGGCAAGATTGGAGCAGGGAGGGAGTGTGGGCTGCAGGGTGGGCCACCATCCTTCTGGGGCAACCTCAATGTTGAACCCTTACCCTAACCCCTGGGCCTTGTGGGTCTGTGTTCCCAGTGGGCCCCATGGTGGCTGCATTCCCGGCCTCACCATCAAGTAGTTGAGGCGTGGGAGGACTTTCACGATGCCCTCACTCTGGCTGGCCAGCCTAAGAAGACAGAGCAGCAGCCTGCCTCAGGGCACCTTCACCACGGATCTTGTTCCCCACCTGCCCAGGCACGCTGAAAGCCTGACACCGACTGGGCCTCTTGTAAGCCTGTTGCAGTTGCTGGCTACTGAGCCCTGCTCCCGGCCCTGGACAGTGGGGTTAATGTTTGTCCCAGCCTGTGGGCAGTGCCACCAGGCACTGACTTTCACAACAGCGAAGCTGTGCTGCACTGAGTGACATCTGACCTGGACAGGCTCGGGGTTCTGGGACGTCTTGTCTGCAAACCAGAGGAACAGTGTGAGGTCAGAGAGCCACAGTGGTGCCCCATGGAACTGGGAGACTCCCAGAGTGGCAGGATCACTTTAGGGAGCTTGGAAAGAACCTGCTACCCAGGTACAGACTTGGGGGCTGGGTGGGTATGACCGTGTCACCCAGGCATGCCAGCCCTGGTGAGGATACTGTCTCCCAGGTGTGCTGGACATGGCAAGTCAGATCGTATCTGCAATGTGTGCTGACCTGGCGAGTCTGTGTCTTCCAGGCGTGCTGGCCTTAGAGCGTTTGTGTTGTGTCGTTGATGCGTGATGATCTCCCAGGAGTGTCTCCCAGTGGCGTGGAGTTGTTAGTGTCCTGGAAAACATGGAAGCCTGCCACTGCCTTGGGTGACTGTCTCCACAGGCACTGGCTGTGATGGATCTATCAGATGTGCTGGCCGTGGACTGTCTAACCCTGTTATTGGCAAGTCAGACACTATTGGGTGCTCTGGGCCTGGCACATCTGACCGTGTCTCTCTGGTGTGCTGGACTGTGAGCCACAGTCCCTGTTCCCAGGTATGCACCTCCAGTGTGGTGGCCCAGGCAAACTGAAGTGTGTATCCTCCACATATTGGCTGTGGTAGTGTGGCCAACTCCCAGGGTGTCCTGGGTAATCCAATTGTGTTTCCCAGTACTTGGTGTCAAGAATTGCTGGCTCTAACATGTGAGACTCTGTCCTAGGGGTGCTGGTTGTGGCAGGTCTGACAGTGTCTGTCCCCCAGGTGTCCTGGCGCTGTGGGTTTTGGTCACGCACGTCATGTACAAGCAGGACTACTGGAGGACCTGGCTCAAGGGGTTACGTGGCTTCTTCTTCGTGGGTGTCTTCTTCGCCACTGTCTCCATGGCTGCCTTCTGCACCTTTCTCACGCTGGCCATCACTCAGCACCATAGTGAGGCTCCCTGGGTATTGGGGTACAGGGGAATGTCCAATGATCCCAAGGGAGGGGGCAGTGATCTTGAACCCCTGGGGGAGTACAGGGAGGAGGCTGTAACCCTGAATCCTGTAGGGGAGACAGGGAGGGGGCAGTGGGCTGGGAGGATGGCAGGTTCCTTTAGTCCAGGCAGGTAGCCCTGCCCTCTGTTGGCTGTAGAGGGAAGCAGGGGGGTGCCTGGATTTATGGACAAGTGGCCAGGCTACAGGTGGGAGGAGTGGATGCTGGGTAGCCAGTGCTGCCCCCACTCGCCCTGCGAGTGGAACTGGGAGGCTCCCAGGGTAGCAAGGTCACTTTAGGGAGCACTGCCCTGCCCTGGGGAGGCTCTGACAGGCACTCTACCTACAGGCCTCACGGACCCCAGCAGCTACTACCTGTCCTGCGTGTGGAGCTGCGTGTCCTTCAAGTGGGCCTTCCTGCTGGGCTTGTATGCCCACCGCTACCGCGCAGACTTTGCCGACATCAGCATTCTCAGCGACTTCTGACCTAGCCCTGCCCATGTGGACCCTGGGAGAGGGCTGGCGAGGGCCACTCACCCTCAGGGTGGGCACTGGCAGGCAGCAGCGCTGGTCCCATAGGAAGTGACGGGAGAGGGCTGGCGGGGCCACTTGCCTTGGGGTGGACACTGCCAGGCAGCAGCACTGATTCCTACAGGAGGTGGGGCAGGAGGGGCTGTCCAGACACTGAACTGAACTGTTGCGGGGCTGAAGAAGCTGGGGTCCACACAGAGGTCCCCTTGGCCTGGCCTGAGGCTCCAGGGCTGAGAAAGTCAGGCAGATGCAGAGTCTCAGCTGTGGGTGCCGGGGCCCTCCATGGACTGCATGCACAGGGGTTCCAGACCTGGACCCCATCCTGGGTCTCGCTCCCTGGAGCCCAGGGACAGGTAGGTTCCAGCCCGGCCCTTGGGGCCCCATATACATAGCCTGAGCTGGACACTCCTCTCACAGGCATTTTTAAAGCAAATAAAACATCTATTGTTCAGATTTTTCTTTTTTTCTCTTTTTTACAAAAACATGCGCGGGATATAGTGGGGGGACATACGTGGACATACACACACATGTGCTGCCACACACACGCGCACACACACACACACATAAGCACACACATGCTCTCACACATCCTCCTTCTGGGCCCAGGCCTGGGCCCTTGCAAGCCAAGGAGTTGGCATAGGAGGCCCCCTCACCCTCAGCGGAGCCAGCTGGCAAAGGAGGCCCCAGGTGAGTGGGACTGGCAGCGGCCGAGGGGTCCCTGGGGGCTGGGCTGTACCCCTGAGGGGAGATGAAGGTTCGGCACATCAGAGTCAGAGCGCATCGAGCTCCCAGGGCACCTGTTGGCTGCAGGGGGAGGGCTCCCAACTGCAACCAAGCTCACAGTTGTGCATGGGGCCTGGGACTGTGTGCAGTGTGGGGGCTGCAGGCCGAGGACAGTGGTCACAGGTGGGCCGCGGTGTGCCGGGGTGCTTTGGAGGACAGAGGTTGAGCCAGAGGGGCCTTAGAGATGCATGGGTTCCTCCTCTTCCACCAGCTGCTCTGCAGGCCTGGCAGGGGTGGGGGCGAGGAGGTAAGGCTGCAGGTAGGGGCCAGGGGGAGTTCTGAGGGTGGGCGAGTAGGCGGGGTGCTGGGTGTTACCTGTCTTCTGCCAGGATGCCCACAGACAGAGATGCCAGTGCAGTGACAGCCTCCACCTCGGCATCAGTGCCAGGCGGCCTGGGCTCCCAGGTATCAGGGCAGGCGGCCAGACGCTTCATGCAGACCCAGTACTTACCTGGTGGGGGAGTGGCAGGTTATGTCCCCCGTGGGGGTCAGTGGACCACCTGCCCCTGCTTCTCCCCCAGCTGCCATGACTGATGGTGTGGAGGGTCCTAGGTAGGGGAGGTTCATCCTGGCTGCTGCTATGAACGTGGAAGGCCACTGTCCCTTCCTACACCCCTAGCCCAGACCCTGGGTCCCTGCATAAAGTGCAAGGACTTGGAACCATGGAGTAGAATTGGAGCTGTAAGGAGCATTGCAGGCAGGCAGAGGCCCCTTCTCTCCTCCAAACCCCCACTGTGGCCAGGGCTGCAGGGCAGAATGGGGAGGCTGGCCCCACTCACTTACTGTGCACGCGGATCACAGCCTCCAGGGAACGGATGGCATTTAGGTTGGGCTTCTGTGTCCAGCTCTCTTCTGAGAATGGGTCCACCTGTAGAGAATGGCCCTTCAGCCACTCGCCCTGGCCTGGTCACCTCTGGGCACCCAGGAGTGAGGCCAGGGGTTGCCCACCTTGTTGCCCAGGAGGGCGGCCACACAGGCCTCGGAGGCGTCGCAAATGGCCGTGAGGTCATGACCGCCTTCCAGGGCCAGCACCACAGCACCTCCAGCCAGACTCATCAGCTGTTGCGTCATGCACCCGAAGCCTGGGGTGGGGGGAGGGAGAGGTAGGCATGTGGCATGTGCATGGAGCCAGCCTCAGCAATGGCTGTGCTTGGGCCTGCAGACTCTCACCCCAGCCTCATGCCAAGGGCCCAGGGGCACCTCTGTCTTGAAATTCCCACGTCCCTCTCCTGGACCTTTGCACACTGGGGATGGAGGGAGAGCCAAGGGCGAGATCCCAGTCAGGATCCCAGTCGCTCACATTTGGCAGAAACTCGGTAGCCACCCAGTGGAGCAGGATGCCCTTCGGCAGCATCGAAACCAGCCGACACAAGGACCAGGTCTGGAGAGAACTCGCGGGCGACAGGCATCACCACCGTCCTATAAATGAAGGAGAAGCACTAGTGCCTGCCCCAAGCAGGAGGCCGGGCAACCCCAGCCCTCTGGCCGGCTAGCTGGGAGGTGGCCACTCCTCACAGGACAGTGGATCCCTCAACTACTTCCTGGGAAACCCAGGTACCTGCACACGGCCTGGGGACTTGGCTGGTGGTAGCCAACAGGCAGGTAGGAGCCAACCGGAGGGTACCTTTCATGGTGAGTGGGTATGTGCAAGGTGTGAGTGTGAGGTGGACAAGTGTAGGATGTGTGTGTATGTGAGGTGGCGGATGTGGGCAGAGGCAGAGTGTGTATGCGAGGTGGACTTGTGTGTGAGGTGGGCAAGTGTAGGCTGTGTGTGAGGTAGACACGAGCAGGGTGTGTGCGAGATGGACATGTGTAAGCTGTGTGTGTGAAGTGGACACGAGCAGGGTATATATGTGTGATATGGGAGTGTTTCATGTGTTAATGTTGTGGTTTCTGTGGCTATGTGCAGCTGTGTAATGGGTCTACCTGGGGTATATTTTCACCTGGGAAGACCTGAGCAGGATTGCCTCATGCTCACCGACTAGGACCTTTTCCCTGGGCCTCTGGGACTGTGCCCATTCCAGACCATGGCTGGTCTGACGAGTGACCAGTCTCTTTGTGCTCCCAGTCAATCCATTCCCACAGCCTCTCCCTGTCCTGCCAGACCCCATCCACACCTAGGTCTGTGTGTATTCTCCAAGCCGATGGCTCCTATAGAGAACTCTAAGTGGCTGCCTCCAAAATATCTTCCCAGTTCTCTCCCAGCCACCCCAGAGCTGAAAAGGCCATCCACTCCAGGCAGCTCCTCCCCATGCTGCCCATCCACTCCAGGCAGCTCCTCCCCATGCTGCCATCTGAGACCTCAGTACTCTCATCCTCCTCAGACAGGCCTCTGTCTAGTGATAACTGGGGACAGGAAGGGCCCTTACCTGAAGGCAGCCAGGTATTCGGGGTCCCCCATGGGGGGATCCAGGCCTCCTGCCCAGGCCACATTGATGTTAAAGCCCTCGCCACTGCCAGCTCCCACCTGGAACACAGGAACCCGGGGTAGGGTGGGGTGTGAGGTTGTGGCCAGGAGCAGAGCAGCTCACTGGGCTCTGCCAGGTGTGGTGGCGGCAGGGGTAGCGGTGGCAGTACCTCGTCCACGGCCCCACTGCCTGGGAAGAAGTTGCCACCGTCATGGCGATGCAGGGAGATGTACAGCACACTGGGGTCCTGGTAGAAGGCCTGCTGCGTGCCATTGCCATGGTGCACATCCTGCAGGGGGGCCATGCTGAAACTGGGCTCCAGGGCCACAAGGTAGAGGGGTCCTCATGATCCCGGCAAGGCCCCAGTAGGAATGGCCAGATACTCCCTCCCTGCCCCAACAACAGAGCGAGTATGAGGTGGATGTGGTAGGACCAGGGCTGTCCCCTGGATGACTCCCCTTCTGGGGAAGGCCTGCAGGTTCATGGAAAATGGGGCACTGAGCCCCAGCTCCAGACTCTTCCCATGGGGCAGGAGGCAGACTCACCCAATCCACAATGAGGACCTTGCTGGCCTTGCCTTGCTGTTGCAGCTGCTTGCAGGCAACCGCCACCGAGTTGAAGAAGCAGAAGCCCCTGGTAGGGGTCAGAGGGGGGGTCGGGCTGGCTCCCTTTCCAGACCCCTTCCCTAGAACCCCTCCCCACACCCAGCCTCCCCGGACCTCACATGGCTGTGGAGTGGTCAGCATGGTGTCCTGGGGGCCGCACCACAGCAAAGCCGTTCTGGAATCAGAGCAGTGTGTGTGGAGGCAGGCAGCCGGGGGCTGCACCTTCCCTTCCTCACTCCCCAAAGTAGGCACCGCCTATGTCTCTCCACTGCAACTGCTGTACCCTGTACCACCAGTCCCTGCCCTCCCATAGTCTGTCCCCGACCCCTGTTGGCTGCAGAGGCAGTGCCCAGGCCTGAGCTGGGGCGGAAAGCCGGACCGTCTTCCTGTCTATAGGGCACCTGTGGCGGCGTGGCCTCAAGGTGGGTTCTAGAGAGCAGAAGTGACTGCATCAAATGCAGGCCTGTGGGATCCTGCACCCTTACATGCCCAGGGGTCCAGGGTTATGGTGCTGGGGTCCTGGATGCTATCTAGACCCAGACCCTGGATGACTCTTGTTCACCAGAGGCTGCATCCCAGGTGAAGGCTGGGGCTGGGCTTCGGTGCTTCCTACCTTCAGCTCCCGGGAAGCCACCTTGAAGGCCAGGTCGGTGACGCTGCCTGCTGCCCAGCGGGCAGCATTGGAGGAATGCAACTCGTTCCAGACAGTGTCAGTGTCCACCTGTGGGGCCAGAGCCAGGGCCTGCATCACCAAGCCTTCCCTGGGGCAGCGCCCACCCCACAGCCCAGGACCCTAAGGGCAGGGAGCCAGGCAGCTACTGCTGCCTTCCCGGGGTCCCACCGCCCCAAGGCAAAGCCTCCTGGGCCCCCAGCCCCGGCAGGGTCCTTCCCAGCTGTCCGTCAGCTTCCGAGGCAGCATCATGCCTGCCTCCCCACCTGGGGGAGGGGCATGGCGTTACCTGGGCAGGACGTGGGGTTTGGGCCTGGAGGGGGTCTTAACCCCCGCAGACTCTGCTCAGGCCCTGCCGACGTCGTAGCACCACTGTCTTCTGCTGGGGGGGGGCCCCCTAGCCCAGGCAGGGAGGCCCCCCAACCTAGTCCCTGGGCCTCAGGGCGAAGGAGGGGCCTGGGGCGTGATGGGGAGATGGGGAGGGCCAGGCGGACCGAGAGAGGCCAGGAAGGCAGAGACAGTCGCAAGAGGCTGGAGGGAGAGAGACAGAGGGAGCGGGAGGGAGACAGAGCAACAACAGTCGGGAATCAGAAAGTATGGGCACGGCTGAGCAGGACCCTGCCAGTGGGCTCCGGGCCTGAAGGCCACTGCGGGAGCTGCTGGGCCGGGGCAGCAAGGCAAAGCTGCTGGGGTTGAGTTCCTAGGGCGCGGTGGGAGGCAGTGTTCCATCCCACTGGGCACCACCCTGGCCACACCAGGTGGTCCACAGTCCATCAGGGAGGGGCCCAGCACCTGGGGTCATGGCCAGGCTAGCCCCGTAAGTGTTCTCCCTCTCTCTGGAAAAGGGGTGAGGCCACCAAGGGGCTGAGGGGGGCAGGGTCTCAAGAAAGAGCACACAGGGCTGGGCACACTTACCCCAAGCCCGCCACAGGGCAGCATAACGAACACGCGCTGCTCCAGGAGTTCTGGGGGTGGAGCGGAGACTGGCTGGTGAGGGGGTCAGGTCCTGAGGCAGGGTGTGGGGGGCACAGGGCAGGGTCCTACCTGCTAGCTTCCCGTCGTCCAGCTTGAGGCGGCTCAGTGGGTTGGTGCCATAGAGCAGCACATGCCGCTCCGAGTGCACGGACTGCAGCTCCTCCAGGGAGGCCTTGCGGCCTCGCAGGCACTGTGGGAGGCGGGGCGCTGAGCCCCCCGCCAGCCCGTCCCTCCCCACCACTCCAGGGACCCCCTACCCGACCAAGCAGTCTCACCTCGCAACGGCTCCGCAGCCCCCGCTCCTGCAGCCGCGACCAAATGCTCTGGATGCGGCCGGCGTGCTCGGGGTGGCGGCTGCTGTCACCGCACGGGCACTGGTGCTTGAGCATTACCGAGTCGTAGACCAGCCCTGCCAGGCGAGTGGGAGGCGGGCACTGGTGGGGAGCAGCCAGGGCACCCCATCCCTTGGGTTCCAGGAAATCAAGTCAGGGACGCGCAAGCCAGCATGAGATGTCAGTTCACAGCACGCTGGGCGGGCAGGTGGTAGAACCAAGGAGGCACACAGCCCAGGGTGCTGGCGAGACACTGCTAGAGCCAAATCCCTCTGCAACCCAGGAGCTCACAGCCCAGAAGGGTCCCGGGGTTCGGGTGCCCCAGCCCCTCTCACCTGTGGTGAAGGGCAGGGTCCTGGCCGGGGGATCTGAGCTGGATGGGGGCCTGGCCTGGCCAGTGCACTCCGGGCTGAGCAGTGAGGCAGGTGCCGCGGGGGAAGACTGAGCCCTGGACAGGGGGCGGTGCCCGCTCTGGGCCCGTGGGAGCAGCACACAGTCCCCTGATCCCTGGGTCAGTGGCCCTGGCGGGCGCTTGTGCTCCCACAACACCACCTGTGGGGCACAGGGCTCCTCGAGCAGCTTCTGTGGAGACAAGAGGAGCTTGGGTCAGCCCTAACTGGGGGACTCCAGGGACCTTCCTGTCTGCGGCCTGTGGCCTGCCCCCTGCTCAGGAGCACAGCAAGTGTGAGGGCCCCCTCATAACCCTCAGGGGAAGGGCCTGGGCAGACTTGGGGCTAATGTGAGGGGCCCAAGATGCCCACCAAACAACAGAACTAAGGGAGACCCTTAGCCCATACCACTCTTGCCTAATGTGTTTTCCTGAGAACTGGCCTAAAATACCATACACGTCAGGGCCTGAGTGTCACAGTGGGTGTTCCAGCCAGAGGCAGGGACATGATCCATCCCACCTCCTGCCCTGCTCACCTCTGACCAGTCCCAGGGTGTGTGCTTCCCAGGAGGGACCTAGCTGCACACTGTGTGTGCACGGGTGTGAGTGTGTGTACCCACATCTGCAACATGCATGCAGCAAGCACATGCAACATGTGTGGGCATGGCAGGGTGTAGTCCTGTATGTGCAGGCATGTGAACACATGTTTTAGATGTGGTCCCTGAGCGTCTGGAAGGCAGCCTGGGTTCTAAAGCTGTATGTTAAATGGCACCCTCTCCCCACCCATTCCCATCTCACATGACCATACCTGGGGGAGCCGCAAGGGTGGAGGTGCACCTTTGGACTCTGGCTGCCCATGGCTTGACTCCTGATGCTCCAGACCGTTGTCCACCACCTGCCGTACTCCACCACCATCTGACTCTCGGCCCTCAGCAGAGGGGATCTGTCGCACCCGGGGCTTCTCACTTGGCTTGGCCGGCCTCTGGAGAGGGAGGCACAGGCTGAACACTGCTGGCAGGGACAGGAGCCAGGGGCCCAGGCAGGCATCTGTTCCACCCGCTGGGCTCACCTCAGCTAGCTGCAGGTGAGGTCTCAGCTGCTCCAGGTGTGGTTGAAGGGGCTCCGAGCGAGTCCAACTCAGGGGCCAGTGCAGGCCTGACCCAGAGAGGCGCTCAGGGGTCAGCAAAGACTGAGCAAACTGGAATGGTAGAGGCCCAAGGCCAGGCACTGCAAGAAGCAAGGGTTGGGGGGTGTAAGGGGAGAAAGCTGGGATGGGGGTATAGGATCGCCTTCCTCAGTCCGGCAGGGGACTCACCAGTCAGCAAGGGGCCATGAGAGGCTGCGGGGTCCAGTAGAAGGACGGGCTGCAGGCGAGAGGGCAGGGAACCCCCAGCCTCCTGCTCCAGGCCCTGGGACAGGAAGAGGGGGCAATGGGAGCTACCCAGAACAGGCCCCCGAGGGCCCAGAGGCTGGCGGGCTCTGCGTTCATTGTCAACCTGGGGAGGGGCACAGAGGCAGTCAGTATGCAGGTCCCTGCAGAGGAGGGGGAAGGGAAGGAGGTGGAGGTGGCACTCACCCTAGCAGGAGCTGGCAATCCCAACGTGATGGCGGGCAGCAGGGACACAGTGGGCAGGGTGAAGGGCGCCAGAGTGGTCTCGTGCAGTCGCAGCCGCTGGCCTAGGAGCACCTGTCACAGGGAGCAGGCGAGGAGTCAGTGCAGCTCTGGCCTGGCACACCCCTCAGCCCCTGTGCTTCCTCGAGGGCCCAGCCGACCTTACCTCAGAGCCTAGGCTGGCATTGGGGCCGTGCTCGCTGTCATTGGGAGAGCTGCAGCCAGATGCAGGTGTGCTACTGCTGCTGGGGGAAGAGTCTGTGCTCAAGGAGAAAGGGAAGTGCAGTCAGAGGTCAGTGTGGGCAGTACATACAGCAGCCTCCTTGCCCAAAGTGGTCTCCACTACCCGGGGCTGTGCAGAGACAGGAGAATAGCTACCACTGACCACAGCACCTTCCAGTAGTATTAGAGTCAGCACAGGGCCCGCCCTCTACAAGGCCCTCTCCTGGGCAGCTGTCACTTGGCCAGGGCCTGCCCGAACCCCATGCCCAGGAGCTCGGGAAGGAGATGAGGGGTAGGCAGCCAGCTTCCCTCACCTCCCAGGGTCTCGGCTGGCCGCCTCCGCAGACTGGGAGGAGCACTCTCCTTTCGCAGCAGGGGGTTTTTCCTGCGTTCCAAGGTCTTCTTGGGTTTGTAGCGCAGTTTCAGGTTGGGCTCAGAGACTGCAGGTCAGGGAAGGGCTTGAGAGTGCCCAGTCCACCTCCCAGCCACCCCTGCCAGACACCTGACTCACCTGTCTTACGCAGAGGAAAGTGCTCAGGAGGGTCAGCGGGCAGGCTCGAGACAGGGGGCAGAAAGCGGCCAAGTGGGCAGCGAGTGGCTCCATCTGTCTCCAAGGGCTCCAGTGTCCTATGGAAGGCAGTAGGGCTGCCTCAGACCCCATGGCCCCTGGCCCCACACAGCCGCCCAGACAAGAGTCCAGCAGCCACCACAGGTCCCAGAGTGGGTCAGCATGAAGGCCTGCGGGGCACCTGCCTCGCCCTGAGCAGGGACCGAGATGGAGCAGCTGTGTGGGCAGAGGAACAGCATGCTGTCACCTGTAGGCTGTGCCAGGGCCATTGGGGTGGGTGGTCCTCTCTAGCGCCGCCTGCTGCTGCTTCTTCAGGATTACCTCGGCCAGTTTCTGCTTGACCACACTGCTAGCCACAGCACCTGCAGGGCAGGGTTGGGCATGAGCCAGCTGGGCACAGGCAGGTGTGGGGGGCTGCCAGGGAACCAGGGCCAGTGCCCGGCCTTACTCCGCCGGCTCTTGTCCTTGTGGAGAAGCTGCCGCAGCTCCTGTTCCTGACGCACATGCGATGCTGCTGCCGGTGCCTGCACATCATGGGGCAGCTGTGGCTGGGGCCGGCAGCTCAAGGGGCATGCAGTAGGGTGAGGGAGTGGGGCTGGGGCCTGCATCTTTACCCTCAAGGGCTCTGTTTCATGCTGCTGCTGCAGGCCTGCAAGGAAAAGTTGGTGTCCCAGGTGCTGGGGCGGCTGCAGGGCCAGCAGCGTGGCAGGCTCTTGCAGGGGCTCCATGGGGGGCCGCGGGCCCAGTCGCAGGTCCATGGGCTGCCGCTGAGGGCCGGGCATGTCCATGCAGGGTGAGGGGCAGCCTGGGGACAGGTGAGAGTAGTATTCAGTTGACCTGCCAGGCCCACCCTCCCTGGCCTTTACCCCACTGGTCTTCAGGGGCCTTGCAAGGTAGGTGGCTGCTGTCCACCCATCTTCCTTGAGGGTTATTTGATGCTGGATAATGAGCCTTGCAAACCAGAGCAGGTTGAGTCCAAGTGAGAGCCAAGTTTGCCTGCCATGGCAACCCTCAGCCCTGGGGAAGGTGGCCACCAGTGGTTGGCAGGCAGACTGCTCAGTCCCTGCCAAGCATGGCTGTCCTACCCATCTGCCCCAGGTTACAGGTTATTGAGCCACTCAAAACAACCACGTCCATGCTGGGGGCTTCACCAGCTCAGGGACAACTCAGTGATCACCAGGCCAGCGTCTGGGACCATCTAGCAGTGTCAGCAACACCAGGAGCAAGAATAGGCCAGCAGTGCCACAGCATAGGCAGGCAGCTCCCGAGAGGCCTCCCTCAGAATCCCAAGGGAAAGCACTCTGACCAGGCAGCTACAGGTCCTCCGCTGTGTCCAGACACACTCTGCCAGACACGGACACCAAGGGCAGCCAGCACAAGGGGCAAAGTGAGTGATGCTGTCGATTATCCAGGACATGGTGCTCTCTGGAGGACAAAGGGCCTGTGGGGCAGCCCCAGCTGATAATGGGCAACACCCAACCCTTGGCCCTGGGGAAGGTGGCCACCAGGCGACCCAAACCCTCCCCGTGGTTGTGTCTGAGCCTGGGTCCCCCTGTGCAGCAGGCTCCAGCCCAGCAAAGGTCTTTGTTCCCTGAGCCACACTGTCCCAGCTCCCTGCTTGGTCCTCTTCTGGCCACTTGGTTGTGCTCCTGTGCACCAGGCACCTGACCCGCACCTGCCTGCAGGCTCCTGGGTGGCCCCGATGGCGGCAGAGGACACCGGCCTTCCATGCTGTCCACCGCAAGGGATGACCACTTTCCAGGCTGGGGATCTCGCAACGAGCTGGCCCTTGGGGGACATGAGCTGCAGGGAATGTGGGGCGGGCCTTGTCCAGTCCAAACCTAGCCCCCTGGCATGTCCTGGGCCAGCAGGGGTTGGGGGGGAAGAGGGGGACTCCATGTCACCAGGGGGTGTCACCTCCCAGAAAGCTGCTCGGGGATGCTGAGGCTGTGGACACGCCACACACCTGCAGCCCATCCCCTGGCTCTCTCCTTTCCTTCCTGCTTTGCTGTCTGATCAGGACAAGAGGACCTCACCTTCTAGTCCCTGCTGTGCCTGTGAGCAGCTGGTGGCCTGGCCCAGCCTACCCCTTCCCATGACCCCAGCCCACTCCTCCCAGCCCTGCCTGTAAACAGCTCCATATTTCCACAGCTTCTCACCATGTATCCTTCACCCCTCTGCTTCCTTTCCCACCTGGAGCTCCCCTAGGCTGTCTCTTACCTGTGCTGGGGGTCTGAAGTGGTGGGCCCTGACTCACTCAGTTCCCATCTGCAGAAGAGAGAAGTAGAATGAGGAACTGCAGGTGGGGCAGGGCAGGGGAGAGGCAGAGCCTGAGCCAGGACCCCTCATCTTTTCAAATGTCCCAGAGCCCTCCTCCATGTCCACAGGGAAACTTGAGCTTGGCGGCAGCCCACAACACCCCAAAGTGGTCAGACACAGTCCCCAGTCAGCCAGATCAGGCCCCAGAACCTGGATGGAAGAGGTAGTGCCTGGGCCTAGGCCAGGGAAACAGGGGAGCAGGAGCAGTGACCGAGGGCAAGGGGCCAGGCAATGCTGGCAGTCCAAGGAGTTCCATGCCCCATCTGGGTCCTGCAACCTCTAACCCAGGACAAGAGATGCACACAGCCTCCCAGGAGATCCCGCATCTGTCTAAGGACCTAGGACAGCACCCTCAACCACCCAGGCCAGGCTGGAGCAGAAGGACCACTCTTCACAGGCAGGAAGGGGCTGCAAAGGCCAGGGAGACTCCTGTGGACGGCATCAGGCCAATAGACCCAGACTGGACAGCACCCAGCTTCAGACGGCCAAGCATGGCCACAGATGCTGCCGCCCCGTCCAACTGTCTCACCTGAGGCCCCCACAGATGGGTCCCCTCTACTGGGACAGACCCCCTCTACCCAGGACAAGCACCTATCTACCCGGGACAGGGACCCTCTACCAGGAATAGGTGATCTCTATCTGGGACAAGGCCCCTTCTACCTGGGACAGGTCCCTGGACTCCCCAGCATCTCTTGTTTGCTCTGTAGGTTGGTGCACCAAGGAGGCTCCCAGCCTTGGTTCCAGGTACAGCCTGTGGTCCTCTCTGGCCTCTGTCCCTGGCCAGGTGCTTGCAGCAGCAACCAAATCATGCCCATGCCCATGCCTTGCTCCCGTGGCCCAGGCCCTGGACACCAAGCACTACACAGCAGAAGGTCCCAAGGCTCCAACCAGGAACAACCCCCACCAGACCCCAGGGCACACTGGCGGGAGAGCCCAGCCCTGACCATTCAGAAAGCCACCTCCTGCTCCACCTGGCTCTAAGCCCAGGACCCTAAGTTCCACCGTGCCTGGGGTAGCTGTCAGCACATTCAGAAGTGGACACCAGCCTCAGCAATTGCCCAAGGATGAGCCTCAGGGCAGGTGGCCCAATTTCTGCTGCTTTTGTCAACTACTACAGCTTGGCGGGAAGCCGTGTCCCCAGCCCTGGGCACCTGGACCTAACCAGAGCCCACTCCTGCCCACTCCCAAGAGCTACCACTGCCTTGCCCAAGCTCCAGAAGGAACAGGGTCCCCACGGCTCCCTACTCAAATGATGCAGGGGCTGCCCTCCCCATACCTCATGTCCTGGCAGCAGGATACCCTGGCTCCTTCCCATGGCAGAACCTGCATGAGGCCAGCAGGAGCTGTAAGACTCAACCAGCGTACCAGGACGGTGAGTAGGCTCTGTTCACTAGGGTGGGCATGCACTTTGCTGAGGGAGATTCAGAGGCTACGATGCCCAGGCTCTCACAGGGCCCAAAAACAATGGTTATGGGCAGGGACTGGCCATTGCCACCCAGCAGGCTGGCATCCAGCCGGGACAGGCCAGATCAGCACAGTGAAGCCACAGGCAGGCAGGAAGGCTCCAGAGGAAGGGACATGAATGATACCATCTCTAATATGTTCAAGAATCATCTTGCCAGAGAAAGCACAGAGTAACTCCCAACAGGTCCCCAGAATCCACTTCCCACAGCCCTGCCAGCTACTTCTGCCACAGTGGGAGCATCACAGGCAGGCTTGGGCCCTACCTGTTAGCAGGTGGTCACTTTCTTTCCTGGCAGGGGCTGGTGCTGCCCCCTCGGCTGTCCTCTGTCTCTCGGGATGCAGCCCCAGCCCACTTATCGCCACCCCTTCCTGCTCCTATGAGCTCCTGTAAGCTTGCACACCCATGTACTGCACGCTTCTTAACTAGCCCGATGCCAGCAGTGAGCCACTGAGGTGGCTCCTGCCTCAGCCCTCTGCTCACAAGATGACACCATCTGTCAGGGCTCCCCGGCAAGGCCACCCCAGGACTCACCAAGCCCTTGCTTTGGGCCTAGGGCTCCCAGAAGCAGCGCTCAAGAGTGCAGCCAGGCTCTGCACCTGCAGCCCACAGCGTCTCATGGGAGCATCATGACAGCCCCGCCTCCTGGCACGGGCAGAGGTCAGTGGGCAGGTGAGCGGTCGGCTGGCAGGCCAGGGCGCGCGGGGTGCTGAGGCGGGAGGACAGCTGTGAGCCCCAGGGCAGGCTGTGAGCACAGCCCTCGCCCCCGCCAGTGCAAGACAGCTATTTTTAGCTCTCCACACCTGGGTATTTTGCAGCCGCAGGATGTCCGGTTTGGAGTCTCTTTCTGGGAATCCCACACTAAGGGCTGTAAACAGCCTCACGGAGCGGGAGCCAGGGCCCCCTCCTGCTGCTTGAGACAAATGAAACAGGAAGTAGATGTAACCATGGCAGCGGCAGCTCGAGTTGAGGGCGGTCAGGGGGTAAAGTAGCCCCCTCCCAGGCCAGTACTACCGCCTGGGCACTTGCCACAGCAGCTCGGGGGCGCCCCGGGCAGGAAGGCTGTGCCCTAGGAGAGCTGAATCAGGGTGTGCCCCCAGTCTTCACAACAGAAGTCTACCACATACATCCCAAGCAGGTGAGGCCCACAGTCCCACAGGTAGCAGCAGATGCATTTGGGGTCTGCTGGACTCTGCCAAGCTACCTTCCCCCTGATACCCCAGCTGGACTCCCCAGGGGAGGCACAGCACCTGCCAGCCAGGGCTGCCTCTCTGAGCGGTCATTGCACTCACCCTGACTAGGTTGCGTTACCAGTCACCACAGCAAATGCGGGGTCCACCCTGGCCAGGATGGACTCATGGAGTGGGAAACGGCTAAAGTCATGGCCAAGGTAGCCAGGACCCAAGCCTGCCCTTGGCTCTGAGTGATGGCCCTCTGGGCTTCCTTGTGCCTGCAGGGACAGACCAGAGCAGCATCCTTCACCTGCCTCATGCCCAGGAGGCACCCCCACCACACCTGCACTTCTTCCCTCATCCCCGTTTTCCCTGACTTTTGGGTATGTTTGTCCATGCTGCCCATAAACTGCTTCCAGTGGGTACAGCAGAACACACATACCCTCCCAGGGCCAGGCAGGGAATGGCATGGCAAAGTCCCTGGGCAGGCAGAGAATGGGTGCAAGGGCAGAGGAGACACTAGGACCTGCAGTCAGCAAGAGAGGGGAGCGAGTAGATCCAGCCAGCCCAAAGCCTGGAGGTAGGGCCCTCAGCTCAGGCCCGGCAGATAAGGATGGTTCAACGCTTGGCTAACCAGGCCCTGAGTGAGATGAAGACCCCCCATCATGGAGGGGCCACCCCAGAAGAGCAGTGAGCACAGGGTCCTGGCAGCAAGCTCTCTGACTACCAGCCAAACTGCCTCTTCTGGGACCCCTGCCTGTACCCACAGAAGGCCATGCTCATGGGTGGTCTCCCCAACTTGCATCCTGGTTTGTTCCCCTGGATCTGAGCAAGGGCCCTGGATTGGGCCAGGTATTAAATGAGGGCCAACTTATCTCTGACACCTGCTGCCATCTTCTCCCAGGGCCACCATGCCAGGGACACTCACTCCAGGCACCAGTGACAGCCTAGCCTACCTCTGCCTCCTGTTTCTCTTATAGCCGGCAGCTGGGGCGAGGGTCTAAAACACCCCCTGTGCTGGCAGCTTGCTCCTCAGGACCAGCAGGGGCCCAGCTGGTCAGGGTCTACCCTGTGCCTCCTGGCTGCAAACCACCCTGCTCCAGGCTCTGGTGGGTGAAGGTCTCTGGAGTAAAGGTTTGATCTGTTTCTATGGACACTGGGACCAGACACTCTGAATCCTCACCACTGTGAAAAGTGGTCACCCTGCCCACAGGGAGCTAACACAGCTGGCCCCACCTCCCTCCAGCTCTTGCATGCTGCAGGTGAACAGCCCGAGGCCTGCTCATAGTCACCTGAGGATCTGCAGGTAAGCTGGGGAGTGGGGAAGAAGCCTTAGTACCCTAGGGTCTGAGCTGAGGATACCCAATAGCTTTGAGCATCCTGGGGTCCCCAAGCCCAACTCACTGGCCCAGTAGGGTGCTACCCTGGCCCTAACAGCTTCTAGGTGACTCAGGGTACCAGGAGAGGTGCAGCTCTGCTGAGCAGACGTGCCCGCCCACCTCCCGCTCCCGCCTCCACATTTGCCAACCGAAACTGGCTGCTGCTATTTTTAACTCTCCGTTCACCCCCACCTTGCATGGGACTCCCCCCTCGGGCCCCCACGGCTGCGCCACCAGGGTGCCACTAGCCGTCACTCAGGCTCCAGGCACGCGCGGTCACGTCTGTAGGGTAAAAACAAGATGCCAAATTCCCCCACCCGGCTCTTTCCGAACCTGTCCCTCCCAGCCTGCCCCGCGGCAGGCTCCCTGGAATGGGCAGGCGGAAGGAGTGTGGGGTTCCCCTGCTGACCCCCAGGGCTGATGCAGGCCCCATGGGCCCACAGCCTCTGCCCACCGGGGTTTCCAATTCCTGCGGGCACCAGGGAAAGGAAGTGGTGCAGAGCTGAGGCAGGGGCCACCAGCTGGAGCCACCCCTCCAACCTTGTGCAGCAGGTAGGAGCACAGAGTGGCCCTTAGAAGCCCAAGCAGGGGCAGCCAGCACATAGGACTCAGACTGCTGGCCAACAGCTAAGGGTGGAGGGTGGTCCAAGGGAGCTTCCTACCAGCTGACACGAGCAGGAACCTGACCTGACACCCAGCGCCCCTCTGGTCTAGCCCCAGCCTGGCACAAGCTCAGCTCCTCTCACCTCCCTCCCACCCCAGCCCTATCTGGCTTCATCTTCCCTGCCAGGGCCCATGGCCCCACGAAGCTGGATGCCTCATTCTTATCAGTGTCCACAGTGGCAGGTAGGCCAGTGCCCAAGGGGAGTGGAGAGCCAGGGCTGGGGTCCTGGGGGCTCCCCGTGCCCAACACACTGCAGTCACGGGCCCTAAGCTCAATCCCCAGTGTCTTGCAGCCTAGGTGTCAGCCTGAGAGGGCTCAGCTACCATTGGCATCAGGCAAGGCATCTCTGTCCTTCTAGGTGCAGGTGCCCCTTCTGGAGGTAGGTGGCTCCCCATGAGGTCCAGGGGCGGGAGCGCCAGTCTACCCGAAAGGGTTTGTGATGGCAAGGAGCCAATCACTCCAATCCTAGCGCCCACCAACTGGCACCAGAAGACCCTGCCCCTAGAGATCCATATCTAGTCCCTGCTTCTGCAGGCCCCATGTCTAGTACCATGTGCTGAGTAAGAGGCCACTGCTGGGGCTTGCTGGCTGCTGGCACCGGCCTTCAGGGTTGAGGCTCCACAGCCCCAAGATTTCCCAAGCAGCAGCCTCAGAAAGAGTAGGGTCAGGGGGCGACTGGGACCCCAGGGAACAACCACATCACACATATCCCAGGTAGATCTGGGGAGACCTGGGGTCTGTTCTGGGCCTCCCT